GGAACCCTAACTGTCCAACCACTCCTAGGCACTCACCATGATAGGTAGTTCCTGACAGGTCAGTACTCACCATGATAGGTAGTTCCTGACAGGTCAGTACTCACCATGATAGGTAGTTCCTGACAGGTCAGTACTCACCATGATAGGTAGTTCCTGACAGGTCAGTACTCACCATGACAGGTAGTTCCTGACAGGTCAGTACTCACCATGACAGGTAGTTCCTGACAGGTCAGTACTCACCATGACAGGTAGTTACTGACAGGTCAGTACTCACCATGACAGGTAGTTCCTGACAGGTCAGTACTCACCATGAGAGGTAGTTCCTGACAGGTCAGTACTCACCATGACAGGTAGTTACTGACAAGTCAGTACTCGCCATCATTGCCCATATTATATTAATCACAATAAACCACTCGTAAGGTCACGTAAGATTAATAACGGTTAGCCGGCAGTTTACTGTGAATGACTTTGCTTAAGTTACATGACCATGTTAAGATTAGTTTGACCCTTCTGCTGTAAAGGATTAATGGAACACACAAGTAAAGATGAACTTTACAGACAGACAAGTACAGACAGAAAGTAGGGGTTCAATATTGACCATGTAACTGTATTATGCTCCAAACTGTGATACAGAAGAGAGAGAGAGAGAGGAAGAGATAGATAGAATTATAAGAGAGGGGAACTGAGTACTGAACATCTATACCATAAGAGTGTCTGCCTCTCTTGAGTGTCCAAAGTTGGAGGTCAGATGCTTTGGGTTAGTCTCACCCAAATTTAAATTTCAGCCTGGACAGGTCCAAGTTGAATAGCTCCAGCCTGGAGTCAATACCTAGCTAAACACAAGGCAAAGTTAGAGAAGATTCAGAGCTATGTCACCAGACTAGTCCCAGAAGTGAGAGGTATGAGGAGAGAAAAGGTGGAGACATGATCACCACCTACTAAATGCTTGGAATTATTGACAGAGTGGATAAAGACACACTATTTAGCATGGGTGGAACATGAACAAGGGGGGGAGGGGGAGACAGGTGGAAACTTATGATTGTTAACAAATTGAATGCATATGGCAGACTCCATACACAGTTTCAAATGTAGATATAATAAGAGCCCAATAGGCTCAGGAATCTGTACAATAATTGACAGTTGAGAGGCGGGACCAAAGAGCCAGAGCTCAACCCCCGCAAGCACAAGTAGGCGAATACACAGGTACGTACGTAAGTTGCCTGAGCCCAGGTATTGACGTGAATGTCATTATTGACACACACGCAGGTGACACTACCTTCATGCATCTCCTAATCTACCCTGTTTCCTTCCTTTCCTCCTCACCTCCCTGCCTTCACCTCTTCCTTCTTTCCCTGCTTGCCTTCACTTCTTCCTTCCCTGCCTATCTGCCTTCACCTCTCCCCTTCCCTTTTTTTTTTAATTCTCATAATTTTATTATCCATTTTTCTGTGAACAATTATTTTATTGTCCTTTTATTTCATTTTTCTTATTCAAGAAATTATATTGTCAATTACTATACTTTATTACAATAGTAATTTACTGTATTATTATTATTAGTGTTTTACCATAATTATTTTTAATATTAGTACAGTATGTTACTGTAATTATTTGTATATTAGTGTTTTACTGTAATTAGTTTTAAAATTAGAATCTTACTCCAAGCAAAATTACAGTAATTCACTGTACTTGTAATTAGTTTTCTTATATTTAGTATCATCAATAACTTTGCCATTTCACTTCAATCAGTTTTCCAAATGCACTTTAGCATAAACCCTGAATTAAACCTCTTTACTGAGTATTTGTGTGTTAATCACTTTAATGTTCAGAACTACAGGTATCACATGACAAATCATGCAAACAATGTATTGTAACAGTTTTAGTTTTAGTTTAGTTCATTTATTATGCACCTCATGCCCATCTTGTGGGCGGTAGTGGAAAGGGTTACAGAGGCACATAATGGGCTCAGGGACTGAACCCCACAGTTCATTTAGCTAAGCAAGTTACAATCTTGATAAGCTAGTTACCAAATTCAATATAAGTCAATTTTGTAACTAGCTCATCAAGATTGTAACTTGCTTAGCTAAATGAACTGTATCGCCACAATGTTTGTTCTCGACTAAGAGTTGGAAATTCCGGGATCGAATCCCTGGTGGGACAGATATGGTTGACTGCATCTCATATCACCTAATGCACCTATTCACCTAGCAGTAAATAGGTACCCAGGAGCTTGTTGTGTGGTTACATCAGGGTGAAAGAAGCTCTGCCCATTTGTGTCCACCTCTGCCGGGGATCGAACCCAGACCTTTAGGACTACGAACCCCCCCCCCCCCCCAAGTGCTGTCCACTTGGCTGTCATGCCCCTAAACTATACTGTGTCATCCTAGGCTGTACAGTATATAATTCATAGTGACCTTTCCTGAGTTTCGACATGACTTTTAAAGGGTGATATTTACCGAGCAGTGACGCACACTCCTGGGATAGTTATGGTTTGTTTACTGCCCCTATTGTTAAACACTTGCCCTGAAATGCTATACGTACAAGTATCTTTGCAAAAATGTTGACTTCCTAGCGTATTATAATGAATCTTCTTCATGAATGAATCTAGAGAAAGAAGCTCAATTATACTTTCACCTGAAATCTAAAACCAGTCATATACATTAGGGAATAGAAATTCAGCTATTTGTATTTTAACTTGTCCCTCCCCCCCCAAAAAAAAACTTCTTCTATCTACCCTGTTGTGATTTAGAGATACTAGTACTGTAATGTTTTTAGTTCATTAATTATGCACCCCATACCCATCAACCAGGTATCAACCAGGTATCATCTCACTTCTGGGCAGTGCATAAGAGTTATTCTTCCTTGTTGATGGGGAGAGGACAATTTTTTATTTAAAAACTATGGAGACTATGTGCTTATGCACATTAAATAATTGCCTATCATTCTCAGCCCTGATCCTAGGCCATGTTGGGGCCTTTCACTTTAACCAAAGTTGTGCATGTGATTTATTGAAACAGTTTGGGGGCATATGCCATCTTTCCCTAAGTAGTTTACATTGAAGTTTGGTGTTTGCTTTGATGCATTGGTCAGTCAGATGTTTTTGAATTCGCTTGTGTGATGTCGCTGCTAGACCATTTTTTAGTGCTCATCCTACATACCTATCCTGTGGGCAGTGGTAGAAAAGGTTACAGAAACACGTAACGAGTTCATGAACTGAACCCAAAATCTGTTTAACTAGCTCAAACATATGCAGTCTCATTTAACATTTAGCAGTCTCCGTGGTGTAGTGGTAAGACACTCGCCTGGCGTTCCGCAAGCGCTATGTCATGGGTTCGTATCCTGGCCAGGGAGGATTTACTGGGCGCAATTCCTTAACTGTAGCCTCTGTTTAACGCAACAGTAAAATGTGTACTTGGATGAAAAAACGATTCTTCGCGGCAGGGGATCGTATTCCAGGGACCATAGGATTAAGGGCTTGCCCGAAACGCTACGCGTACTAGTGGCTGTACAAGAATGTAACAACTCTTGTATATATCTCAAAAAAAAAAAAAAAAAAATATATAACTTTCTTAAGAGTTTAACATGTGCATCAACAGGCTAATCAGAGTTGATCAAACTATTATCACTGTGACCCCCAGGGCCTGAGTTTAGTTTAGTATGTGGGTTACATAATAAATAATAATCATCCTGCAAGTGAACAGAAGAAAGGTCAGTGTCTTCTGATATGATGAAATACTTATACTGTATATAATTTTAAAATGTTTATTGTGCACTTAACACCTTTCCAGCAGGCTGCAGTGGAAAGGTTACATTCTCATGCATGTACTTGCCTACCTACAGAAGGCAAGCTTTCTAGTTTCTAAGATTTCTGGTAGAACTGTACATAGTTTTGAATGAAATACTAGCAGATATCTTGAACATTTATCAGTTATCTCTAAATTTATAATTTTGTTTACATTCCATCACATATAGTGATGCAGAGTTTGTGAATAGTTCTGCTGACAGTTTACACTTGGCAGGTATATATTTTCTGGTATTTAATGTAAACTTCCAGGTGAATTATATACTGTACTGTACTTCTAACCAAACCCAAGTTTAGTAACATCGTAGTCTTCTGATTGTACGTGATGATCTATAGATATGTGGGTCTTCTTACATGGTGGTATGCAGTGGCATCTCGTGACAACATGAAGGGACCACTACAATACCATACAGCATGAAGCCTCTGTTTTTGTCTTGTTTTAATGAAAATTTTCAGAATTCAGTTATAAATATATTGAAAATAACATATAAAGAAGGTAAACTTTGGTAGACTTAAACAAAGGTAGACTTTGTTATCGAAAATTTTGGACTCTTCTAGTTTTAGGTCCTTTCGATGTTGTTGAGGCAAGTGTGCAATTTGCAACAGTGCATGCAGGGCCTCATTCTCTTTTGAGTTGTCAGTCTACACACATACACATTTGCATAGGCTATACAGTATATCTTCAGAAGTCTTCGTGGTCTTACCATCACCATCCGTCACCATAGTCTCCGTGGTGTAGTGGAAGACACTCGCCTGGCGTTCCGCGAGCGCTTGTCATGGGTTCGTATCCTGGCCGGGGAGGATTTACTGGGCGCAAATCCTTAACTGTAGCCTCTGTTTAATGCAACAGTAAAATGGGTACTTGGTTGTAACAACGATTCTTCGCGGCAGGGATCGTATTCCAGGGACTTGCCCGAAACGCTACGCGTACTAGTGGCTCTACAAGAATGTAACAACTCTTGTATATATCTCAAAAAAAAAAAAAAGTACAGTATATGTGAACAGTATTTACTCTTCATACCTACATTGACCAATCTGCCTGAATTAGCTCTAATCTACCTACAGTAACTGTTCACACCACATACACTGACTATTCCTCCTCCTACACTGAACACACTTTCTACATAAATCACATCTACATTGACCGTACCTCTTGCACTGACCATACTTCCTACACTAACTCTCCGTTTTGTACCACCAGCGTGAGTGCATCAGTATCCATGTGGGTCAGGCCGGTGTCCAGATGGGCAATGCCTGCTGGGAGCTGTACTGTCTGGAGCATGGAATTGCCCCTGATGGCACCATCCCTTCAGACAAGACTGTGGGAGATGGAGATGACTCCTTCACCACCTTCTTCAGCGAGACTGGCTCCGGCAAACATGTCCCCAGGGCCATCTTCGTTGATCTGGAGCCCTCTGTTATAGGTGGGTTGGTGTTGGTGTATGTAACAAACTTAACTGGTGCTTTTGATAAATACTTCACGCTTGCAAATTACAATATCTAATTTTGGGACATTTCACCTACATATACTTTGTCACTTTATTACATGATATAGGCCTACAATACCATACAGTAAACCTCTAGCATGGTGATTGATACATTACTACTGATTACCACTACCATTTCTGTCAGAAAAATTTTCAGCCATGCCATTAGTCTGCCTGTCACTCCTCCAATATGTTCTAGCTACCAGAACACCCTATGATGTGGGACTGTTAAAAACTTTTTTTTCGGGTCCAGATAGATACTTTCAACCCAATTATCTCTTTCCTGTAAGTTTTCTGTGGTTCCATCATAAAAACTAAGTAGATTAGTTACAAAGGATCTTCTCATTCAAACACCATTTGTCCCTGTTGTCATATAATTTGTAATCCAGGCATTCTACCCATTTGGTTTAAATTATTTTTCTAGCAATTTGATTACCACGCTTGGCAAGGGTTGGAACTGTTTTTTTGTTATATATATATATGCTACATTCTCTGTATGTCTGAAAAATAGTTTGTAGTGGAATGCATTCTCTTGGAACCCAAGGTGAGACTCCATCTGGCCTTGTTCCTTGGCCAGTTTTTCTGTCTTAACTATAGGCACTTCTAGGTAATCTTTTTTTTTGTACTTTGAAGTGTATGTGAGAAAAAGTGTGGGCGAGTGTGTAATTACCCAAGTGTAATTACAGGATGAGAACTATGCTTGTGTCCCGTCTTCCTGGTACTCTTTGACACTACTGACAGTTTGACCTCTATTATCTTCTCACTTAACTTTTTCAACCATCTACCACTTTGCAAAAGTGAATTTTCTAATGTTTTTTTTCAACTTTGTTCCCCTAGTTTGAATCTATGACCGCTTGTTCTTGAATTTGCAAGGTGAGAGTGTACTACCACCAGAAGTACTAGAGGAAGTACTGTATAAGAAAGTGGAGTGTCTGAAATGATTAAAAATATATATTGGGAAGCTGAATTCAGTAGAATGCAAAACATTAATAAAGGTAGTGTACATGTCTATTTCTGTGTAGCACTCTCAGACTTAATAGCACAATATCCCATGCGTACTATCCAAATTTAAGTAGCCCATGTCTTACAAAATACATACAGCATTTTAATCAGTCAACAAAAGCTTGAGGCAAAATACAGATGGTGTATGCCATCAGCTAAAGTGAAAGACTACTAACACCCACAGAAGCAGAGCCAACACAATAGGTGGGACTTTTATGTGCACAAGCACTGCCCTGCAGTGAGATGACTAAAGAGGAGTCAGCTTGTAGTGATGCGAACCTGCATACTCTAGGAGGAAGGCTCTCTAGTAGGATATTATGAAAGAATATTTATGTTTTCATTCACACGCCATTTCCATTGTCATGGTTTGTCACTTTAAAATTTGTCCGTATCAGATGAGGTGCGGACTGGGGCATACCGTCAGCTGTTTCACCCAGAGCAGCTCATCACGGGAAAGGAAGATGCAGCCAACAACTATGCCCGCGGACACTACACCATTGGCAAAGAAATTGTTGACCTCGTCTTGGACAGAAGTAGAAGGCTAGCTGACCAGTGCTCAGGACTCCAGGTGAGCCAGCATTATGTTAAGAGGAGATTTTGTGACATGAGAAGTTTGAAGGCCTCCCTGAGGTGTACAGTGGAACCTCCAAGTGCATGTGTCATGTCTTAACATTTCAGACAGCAAGTCACAATAATGTGGCTGGAAATTAGACACCCAACCTTAACATCTGAAAATAAAGGAAGTGACAACATTTCTGTCCAGGATGGGTTGAAACATCATCACTACCTTTATTTTCAGATGGGTGGATTGGGTGTCTAATCTTTTACATTCATTAGAAATACTCAAAGTTCAAATGAGAAACTCCATATGCACTAAAATACCTTCTACTGTATTAAAGAGCTTCTTGGTGTACCGAAGAGACCTCCAGTTGCCCTCAAAATCCTTGAGATTCATTCCAGAGGAAATTTTGAGTTTACATGAGAACTTCCAAGTTATCTTAAAAGTCACTTTGAGGCACAAATTGAAATGACATCTGGGTGCACTTAAACGGGAACTGCAGGTTCACTTTAAAGGGATTTATGGGTATATTCTGCAGGGACATCCAGGTACACTAGAAAGGGCTGTGCATGTGTATTTGAGAGGGATTTTTAGATTTACGATTAGTACTTGCAAATGGACTTGAGAAGAAGTTCCAGGTTCACTCAAAGTATTTCTGGGTTTATGATTGATTTTCAAGTGCAGCTGTAATCTTTGCCTTTTCAAAATGGTGCATTTCTGAGTTTCAAAGAAAACAAATACTGTAAAGAACAGTACCGGTATTAATATTTTTATTCATTTATTCTATTTCCTCTTCATTGTTTGATTGCATATATTGTTTAAGTACTGTATTGTAATTCTATTGTTTATTATGCAATTCCACAAGGAAAATTAAGTTTTTTCTTTAATATTTAAAAAAATTCCTACATTCCCTCTGAATCCAAAATAATGTACATTAATCTTAAATTATGCAGACGATGAGTCACAGTAACATGGCTGAAATATGTTGACCAAACCACACACTAGAAAATGAAGGGACGACGACGTTTCGGTCTGTCCTGGACCATTCTCAAGTCGATTGTGTCGACTTGCCCTTCATTTTCTAGTGTGCGGTTTGGTCAACATCTTAAATTACATTTAATATTCAGTAGTTTACTATTATTTTTGTTGGTAAAGGATCTTAATTGTGCTAATTCATGTTAATAATTAAGTACTGTAATTTATTTTTTACTGTACTTTACACTAGGGCTTTCTGGTGTTCCACTCATTTGGTGGGGGCACTGGCTCTGGCTTCACCTCCCTGTTGATGGAGCGGCTCTCAGTTGACTACGGCAAGAAAAGCAAGCTAGAGTTCGCTATCTACCCCGCACCACAGGTACAAACACTGCTTCATAAAGTCTGTAAACTAGTTCTCTGGATTTTTATGTCATGGATTAAATTATCTACAAATAATCTCTGGGAATTTATTTATTATTTTTATGGTAAGATTCCAAGTTAGATGCCAGATCCTAGTGGACTTGCATTCAAGTTCATCCATGATTAAATGATCATTGAATGGAATTTACAGACCTTGGATTCTTCAGCACCTGGTATCACAATTTTGCTCTTCCAGTACCAAACTACCTAGCATGCACACATACACACACACACACACACATAATGCATTAGGCAGTGATGTGGTGGAGGCTGACTCCATACACAGTTTCAAATGTAGATATGATAGAGCCCAGTAGGCTCGGGAATCTGTTCATCAGTTAATTGATGGTTGAGAGGCGAGACCAAAGAGCCAAAGCTAAACCTCTGCAAGCACAACTAGGCAAGTACATAAGCAGCTGAAACTCGACTCCTACAAACACAAACAGGCGAGTATACACACATTTAGTCATACAATATTTAACATGTAGTTGTCTCAGGATCTGGACCTAGATTCAACAGGGCAGTTATGCATCTACTTATGAACCTGCACATCTTTCCTCAATCTTTGGTGGCTTTATATACATTTACTAAAATTGTCAAAACTTTCCAATCAACTGTTATTGTTATAAACAGCCTCCTGGTACTATGGAGCTCATAAATGGCTTAATAAATGTAAACAAATATTGAGAAAAAATGTACAGGTTCTTAAGTAGAGGAATAAATGTTTGCTGAATCCTGGTCCTCCAGTACGATACAGGAAACCCACTATAATATACACCTATAACCTCAACTTAAAACTCTTGATTTCTGGAGTGGCCAAATGGTGGTTCTGAAGTTAGCTGACTGAGGTAGCTCCACACACACGAGTCATATCAGGTTTAGCAGTCTTGAATAGCCTACTGAGACTAGAGCCAGAACCTGGCCTCCCCTGACAGAGGCACAATAAGCATGGGATTGTTACGACCACCTCACCAAAGGAAACATTAAGTAATGAAGCAATACAAACAATTGCAAGGTTTAGAGAAAAGAACTGAAGTAGCAAATGACTTATTGAGAAGTTATTTGCATATTTACAGTCATTTACAAGTACTTATTTCTTGGGAGAACGTACTTGGAATTCCTGGAATGTTAAAGTAGCCGCTACAATATTTCTAATGAAATTGGTTTTCTGGAGAGAAATGTAGCAATGAAATATAATGAAACCTCTCTCTGGTTGGGCCTCAATGGCTCCTTGGTCCCTTCCCCACTGTCAGGTGCTTCAGCTTATGGGCCTTCAGCTCTGATCTGAGGTCTGAAGCTGTATTGCTTCACCTACTTTCCTGGCGTTTTTTTTTTTTTTGTGAGGGTGATTGTAACAATGCCCTGCTTTGTGTGCCTCTGAGAGGACCAGGTTCTGGCTCTGGTCAGATTCATTCCATTCAGAGAGTGAGCTTCAGGAAGTCACCGAGGTCCAACCAGAAAGAACCATTTTATTACAATCTATGTTGTTTTCAACAATAACTAACGAGCTGTTGATGATTCGCAGGTAGCAACAGCAGTGGTGGAGCCATACAATGCCATCCTAACGACGCACACAACATTGGAACACTCAGAATGTGCTTTCATGGTAGACAACGAAGCCATCTACGATATCTGTAGAAGGAACATGAATATCGAGCGACCTACCTACACCAATCTCAACCGACTCATTGGCCAAGTTGTCTCCTCCATCACTGCCTCTCTCAGGTATACCAAGAGCCGATTGGTAATTGGATAGATAGGACAGAGATGTAGACAGAAGTCATCTATAACAAACTTTTAACACTTTACACAACACAACAGAAACCATTACACAAACTTCAATATACTCCTCATCCAGATAATTATTTCCATTGCATATGTCTGTCAACACCCAAGAAATGGCTAGATATTTGCATGTTGATTTTACGTGAATATTGAATGTATAAAAATAGGAAATATACTGGGTATGTTACATAGTACAGTGTATGCAGAATTCAAAGTTTTTTGCCTAAAGTCTTTTCTCAAATATTTAGATACTAAATTTATGGTATGGTTTAAGCCTAGTTTCAATTTCATCAAGTCCTGTACTGTAGTGGTTAGTAATCAGCTCACAATTGACTGGTTCTAGGTTTGATTCCCAGAAGGATGAGGCATTTTCCAGGTTTTTAGATGCCCAACGCCTCTGCTGGGAAGCCGGTCGGCTGAGCGGACAGCACGCTGGACTTGTGATCCTGTGGTCCTGGGTTCGATCCCGGGTGCCGGCGAGAAGCAATGGGCAAAGTTTCTTTCACCCTATGCCCCTGTTACCAGCAGTAAAATAGGTACCTGGGTGTTAGTCAGCTCTCACGGGCTGCTTCCTGGGGGTGGAGGCCTGGTCGAGGACCGGGCCGCGGGGGACACTAAAAGCCCCGAAATCATCTCAAGATAACCTCAAGATTAACTTGGCAGTAGATAAGTGCAGTACCTAAAAATTAGTCAAGTGTTGTGGGTTGCAGAGTGGGTCACTTGCTAGCTAGGAAGAACTTGATATGCTTAACAGACATCTTCTCCTCAAACAATTGGGAACATTATCTTTGATGTCTAGTTTTCTTTGGCATTATGTAGAATTTTTTCTAGGTCTTGAAAACATTTAAAGTATTTGTCAAATAATTCCACATGCTTTTTTTTTTTTTGCTATGTAAGAGTATTAATTGCCACTTGTTTGTACTGAGAAATGAGACATCTAGTCAGTATGCAGCTCAAGCCAAGATGGATTAAAAACCCTTGGCTAACTTAACATCCAAGATACAAGATGACTCAAGGAATCAAAATATTCTGTCTTAGAAAATTTGTAATGTTCTGTATAATGAATTCTTGGTATCATATTTTAGCTCAGATTTTAAATAAGTAAAAGACAAGATTTGAACTGGATAAAACATAACAGTTGAATATCTTCTAATTTGTGTGATTTTCAAAATGTTGTCTGTCAAGTGAGTATTGTATGCAAATGAAACCTAAAAGTAAATACAATAACTAAAACTTGGGTCTGGAAAGGGGCAGAGTTCTCACACTTACAAGCAGTGGAAATGGGTTTCCTTAGAAAAGCGTCCAGTATATGTGGGATGGGTATATCGCCGAGAAAATGTGAGGTGTTGTGAAGGGAGCAATGAAGTGGAAGCTGAAGAGATGGAGTCGGTGAAGCACAATACACTTGAGTGGTATGGCTAGGTCAGTAGTATGCTGGAGAATACATTGAGACAGGTGTATACGGGTGAAATAAAGGTATCATATGGAAGAAGCATCTGACTAGTATCTTGAGAGGGAAAGAATGGGAAAAAATGTATGAAAGCAAGGGTGGGGATTTTTTTTTTTTTAATAAGGGAAAGTGCCAAACCATTATGACTTCATAGCACTTTGAAGAGGCTAGGATAAGGATTTGGGATGGGATGGGGGAAAGGAATGGTGCCCAACCTCTTGAACGGTCGGGGATAGAACGCTGACTTGCATGAAGCGAGACAATCGCTCTACCGTCCAGCCAAAGTGGTTGGGTAGAGGAGGAAGAGTGAAAGGTTGTAGTCTTATGAAACTTGTGCTGTGGTTCCCTGCAGTATGGCATTGGGGATATAGTTAAATAGACTAAAGTAGGGGAAGTTCATATACCTATCTCAAATGCACTAATAAAAAAATCACAATGTGATGTGTGAGAAAATCAGTTGGAGCTGTGAAGATTCGTACCTGGACACTTGGTACTGATTTTCTCATTGATACATCATGTTAATGTGAATCCATTGAGCATTTGAAGAGGTGTTGGAGATAGAACTACTGGACCACTGGCAGAGTGCATGGATTGGGGGGGATGGGGGGGAATATGAAACTCAACTGAGCTTCAGTGGAAGCTTCAGGACCCCTAGCGGATTCAGTTGAACCTCGGGTTGCATTTCTTTTACTGTGTCGTGGTGTAATGGTCTAGGGCGTGGGCTTAGGAGTACCAAGTGTGCAGGTTCAAATCCTCCTCAGACTAGAAACATCTGTAGGAGCCATATCTCGAGTACACTTGGGGTGTGTGTATAGCTTCAGGTGAGTTATGAATATTAAAGACTCCTTCACAGTCATCAGACACAAGAGTTGTCCTATGGTTCCACTCTACTATTTAAATAAATTTATAATTAGATTATTTATCAAGTATGACATGGGTAAATGTTGACAGATCTTTTAATAATTGTCCACTCTAGTATTCACTTGTGCCCACCTCATTTAAAGCTAACAAAGGTCTTGTCTTACAGGTTTGATGGGGCACTAAATGTGGATCTGACAGAGTTCCAGACCAACCTGGTGCCCTACCCTCGTATCCACTTCCCTCTCGTCACCTACGCTCCTGTTATCTCCGCTGAGAAGGCCTATCATGAGCAGATCTCTGTGGCCGAGATCACCAACTCCTGCTTTGAACCTGCAAACCAGGTCCTCAATCTTTCCTTGCTAACATATTTGTATGACTTGGCCAGATGTGTGTGGTGAATGAAGAGCTGCATACCTAGTGGGGTGTGTGTGTGTGTGTGGTGTATGTTCCTGCATGCAGTCGCAAGGGTGGCCCAGATTAAAGCAAAAGTTGAATGGAATGGCAGATATAAATCAAGAGTTCCCAAAAGGGAAAGACAATTACATATTTTCTTGTCTTGCTTGTTTGTCTATCACTAAGTGACAAATTGGGACAATTTACATTTAAAAGTTAGTGAGAAAGGTAAAAACATATGGAAAGAAAGATTGCCTCAACAAAACATCAAGAGAATATAAAAACAGGAATAGGATAATGTGGTGAGTAATTCTATAGACCAGTACTGCTAGATGACAAGGGAACCATGGCAGGTAATTAATGCTCAGCTTTCATCCGACAGATGGTAAAGTGTGATCCCCGCCATGGAAAGTACATGGCCTGCTGTTTGCTGTACAGGGGAGATGTGGTCCCCAAGGATGTCAATGCTGCCATCGCCACCATCAAGACTAAACGGTCCATCCAGTTTGTGGACTGGTGTCCTACTGGTTTCAAGGTAGGTTGAGTCTAGAAAGTATTTGTATTGTACTGCAGTTATTTAATAGCCCCCTCTGCTGTTTACAGAACCCCAGGTGAGTATTATATTTTAAATTCCTTTTGCCAATGGATAAAAGTCTGTTAAAATGTTACCATTAAGGTTTAACTTGTTTTATTCTGCAAAAAACAATGTCAAAATATTATATTGTGATCTCTCAATTAAATAAGATATTGCTAAAATAACAGAAAAATTAATTTATTCGGTGTGGTATAGGTTGGTATCAACTACCAGCCTCCTACTGTGGTGCCTGGTGCTGATCTGGCCAAGGTGGCCCGTGCAGTCTGTATGCTCTCTAACACCACTGCCATCGCCGAGGCCTGGGCTCGCCTTGATCACAAGTTTGACTTGATGTATGCGAAGAGGGCCTTTGTTCACTGGTATGTGGGTGAGGGCATGGAAGAAGGAGAGTTCTCAGAGGCCCGTGAGGATTTGGCTGCCCTGGAAAAGGACTACGAGGAAGTTGCAATTGACAGTGTCCTAGAAGGTGAAGATGAGGCTGAAGAGGAAATGTAAATTTTAAGTGTAAGCTTGGCTGTCTCCACTGTTGCCAGCACACAAACTCGTACCTCTAGCGGCTAACATGTAAAGGTGTCTGTGTCAAGCTTGTCGTCGGTTGATTTTCTTAGATTCTTAGCACACTGCCATCATCACATTTCCTAGGCAGTGAAAGGTCAAACCAGGCATCTGGTGAGTAAGCAGTAGCATGACAACAATGTCTTGCTCAAGGTTTAGAACAATTTTGATATTACTGAATGGAGTAACAGGTGCTTGGGAGCCCTCAAGTGTTACTTGGTAATCAAGTTATGCTGTAGCTTTCTTTATCACTGTGGGCTCAACATTTAATGGGAATACCTCTTATGTTGCTGGGAAGCCCTTGTATCTGGGGTAGCTCAGATAACCTTCTAGGGCAGTAGGGCTCCTTGGTACTCTGCTGACACCAATGACCAAGTTGATCAAGGTGGCATATCCTGCTGACTGACATTCCATATTATTATTATTATTATTATTAGTGGTTGTGTTGACATCACTCAACAGCTGACACGTGGCCAGGTGTTGAGGACGGCCCAAAATGCTGCTACAGATTATTTTGGTTCATCTCTGAAAGTTTGTTCCTCATCTTGCTGATTAAGTATGTTTTGCTACTTTTTTAAGGTGAAAAGGGAAAAGGCTCACTGAACAACGCCAATAAATGCACTTACAAAGCACTTAACTCTTTGTTTTATTGCCCCTCACAGGCTACCAATCACTATCATCATCTTACTGGATTATATATATTCTAATTATATTATTGGGAAAATCTATTTATCTTTAAGTAACCATTTATCAATTACCAAAATAAAAAAAAGAACATGTTTCAAAAACTGCAATACTGTCAACATTATATAAAGTTTATTTAAAATTCATACAACAATTTGAATATAAAATATTTGTTACTCTTGTTATGTCCACTTAAAAATTAAAAGTTGTACACAAAATAAAATGAATACATCTCTTAGAGAACAAACACAATAATATATATATAACGGGGTTACAGTTGTGTAAACACAAAGAACTCTTTAATTACAATTACTGTGCGTCATGATGATAATCTCAACAAGTATGGCTCTGCTTGGTCATCCGAGCATTAATCTTCCGTCCTACTGTAGTCTCGGTAGTACAGTAGGACGATGCCTACTGTACTAGTTCTGAAGTCCTGTACTGTACTGTACTAAAGTCTCGGTAGTACAGTAGGACGATGCCTACTGTACTAGTTGTAAAGTCCTGTACTGTACTGTACTAAAGTCTCGGTAGTACAGTAGGACGATGCCTACTGTACTAGTTCTAAAGTCCTGTACTGTACTGTACTAAAGTCTCGGTAGTACAGTAGGACGATGCCTACTGTACTAGTTCTAAAGTCCTGTACTGTACTGTACTAAAGTCTCGGTAGTACAGTAGGACGATGCCTACTGTACTAGTTCTAAAGTCCTGTACTGTACTGTACTAAAGTCTCGGTAGTACAGTAGGACGATGCCTACTGTACTAGTTCTAAAGTCCTGTACTGTACTGTACTAAAGTCTCGGTAGTACAGTAGGACGATGCCTACTGTACTAGTTCTAAAGTCCTGTACTGTACTGTACTAAAGTCTCGGTAGTACAGTAGAAAAAACCGAGACTAAAGTCTCGGTTTTTTTCCTAAGCTCACAAACATTCCTTTTTGATCTGGAACATCTTACCTAATTACCTGTATTATAATAAATTTTCAAGCTTTTGTGCTTGGTACTTCATATTCCATATTTAACTGAAAAACATATTTATAAACCAAATTGCTTGTTTTTTAAGGAATATCTAGATGCCGGGTTAAGTTGATAGTAAAAAAAAAAAATTGTGTAAATTCGGCATGTAATGGGTCTAAGGAGACAAATCAATGAAAAATTATTTCCATAAGAATTAGCATCCACACAGAAAATGCTGCTTAAAATTTCATTATTTTACAGTAAACAATAGTGATATTGCCTTTGAATCCATTAACAGCAAATGTTTGTGCTAGCAAGCAATCAAAGTAATTAGCTGCCCTATACATTACAAACACTAGCTTGGTACGTTTAACTACATGATCATTAGCAACGAAGTTATCTTCTCTTGTTTTGAGCAACACAGTCACAGGGAATATATATGAACACCCACTGTGAAACCTGCCAACCATATTGTCCAACTATAATTTGATTTTAAAATACTGTACATTGTTTTGTATTTATGGTATATTACTGTATCAGAAAACAAATCTTCCTATCTGGCCTTTTTTTTCAACAACAATGCAGTCCATATATAAATTTTTTTTGTAGTAATGCTTGCTTGTGACATCATCAATTAGACATTTCACCCTGGGCAGTAGCTCGACCAAGGAGGCCTGGTCGACGACCGGGCCGCGGGGACGCTAAGCCCCGGAATCACCTCAAGGTAGCTACTGCTCACTATATTAAACACACAATGTTTTCTTGCTTGACGGAACATGTTATCAACCATGCAGATGTCTTGCAGTGAGTGCTTGGATACATTATCAGCCAAAATGCATGATATGAATTAAAGTTCACAGTTATATTCCATCAAAATACTACAGTCCCTATTTCAATACAAAAAAAAGAACTTGATAATAACTTTTTTTCAGAGAAAACAGTTTGAAAAAGTTTAAAACAAACCAGTTCACTGTTATCTAAAAAGTCAGGTACAAAACATAGGACTAGTAATCTTGGCAAATTTAACAATTGATTTTTCAATAATAAATGTGCATGGTTATTGCACCATCTTGAATGCACTACATTTTGTTAAAACATATATTATAATCCTTGAGCCCAACAACACATTAATTGAAACAAAAACTGGATGTAAGTTAGTTACAATACATACTGTATATACAGTGTTTAATGTTATTAGACAAGTTTTTACTAAACCAAGTTTGAGGTATTTCATGATACCGTACAGTGAAGCCTCGATTCAGTGAACTCTATTTTGGAGAATGTGGTTACAACGCGCACACTTCAGGCCAAATTTACTTGCTCCATTTGATGAGCTAGAGTTGGGTGAAGCAGTTGGATACCTGCTTGATGGAGTTCTGAGAGTTGTTCTACTCCACAAGCCCGGCCCGAGGCCAGGCTTGACTCGTGAGAGCTTGGTCCAAGAGGCTGTTGCTTTGAGCGGCCCACAAGCCCACATATCCACCACAGCCCGGTTGGTCCAGCAATATTTCTTATACTCGCTGGGAGGATGTTGAACAACCATGAACCTTTGATGTTTATAGTATTCTCTGAATGTGCCTATGGCACCCCTGCTCTTCACTGGTTCTATTCAAAATTTTCTTCCATATCGTTCACTCCAGTATGTTATTTTACTCTGAAGGATAATGAAGGCAGTTGGATGAAGTGGGGATGTGTGAACTTGCTTAGAATGTTGGGCCAGAGTTCACAGACTGGTGGGAAAGTTGCCCACCATATGACAGCTTGAAATTAAAATGTCACTCAGTGAAATGAGCCCATAGAGCATGACTGGTAACAATATTTGTAATTAAATTTATAGATGGACACAACATTACAAGAGCCTCAATAGCCTTCGAAAAGCTATTGAGGTTATTTAAACCCAAATTCTATGGTTCATTTTAATTGCCAGTTGGTTTTCATTCACTAAAATATGGGCACACATTCCTTTTGAAAATTAGGTTTTGAGGCTGGGGCATATGCAAGATATACTCACCTAGTATGTGAACCTAGTATGTGAGTACATCTAGCATATTTTCCCAGGCCCCAGTCTCAAACATTTTCAGAGGAATATGGACCCATAATTTAGCAAATGAAAACCAACTGGCAAGGTGAATCAATGAAGGTGAAGGGGATGGGAGCCGGTCGGCCGAGCGGACAGCATGCTGGACTTGTGATCCTGTGGTCCCGAGTTCGATCCCAGGTGAGAAACAATGGGCAGAGTTTCTTTCACCCTATGCCCCTGTTACCTAGCAGTAAAATGGTACCTGGGTGTTAGTCAGCTGTCACGGGCTGCTTCCTGGGGGTGGAGGCCTGGTCGAGGACCGGGCCGCGAGGACACTAAGTCCCGAAATCATCTCAAGATAACCTCAAGATGTAGTGATGTGTTTTTACCATCAGTTTCTCTTGCTAGATGTCCTTCATGTGATAGGGTGAAATTAAAATTTCCCTGAAATTAACCCATAAAGCAAGGGAAAAGTCAGGGTATAGATAATTCTCTTAATATAATGCCAATCATGAACAAATCCACAAGGGCCGTGACGAGGATTCGAACCTGCGTCCGGGAGCATCCCAGACACTGCCTTAATCGACTGAGCTACGACAGGGTAAAAGGGAAAGGCTACGGGATCCAGCAAGTTCAGTAGAACTTCAGTTTCAACCCTTTTACCCTGTCATAGCTCAGTCAATTAAGGTAGTGTCTGGGATGCTCCCGGACGCAGGTTCGAATCCTCGTCACGGCCCTTGTGGATTTGTTCATTTGATGCATCACGTTATTGTGATCTCTGTGTGTGATGCCAATCATGTTTTGAATTATTTTTGTAAATGGAAGCCACATTAGAAGAAACAGACAGATGAAGCAATGTATTTTTCTTGTCTTTTAAAATACAAAAATAATTGTATCTTGAATGCCTCTAGCAGGCATTTTCGATTGCAACGAAATCCCTCACTCCAGTGAATCGGGGTTGGTCCCATATAGTTCGCCGAATCGAGGTTGCACTGTACTGTATTTCCATGAACAATCTTTAAATGTAGGAAGTATCTGGAGCTCTTTCTCCAGTTACTTGTGCAGCCATTGTTGCCGTTGTTGTTTAAATTTAAAAGGTCAAATAAGACAAATAAGACATGAAATATACTGTCAACCCTAAATGTGTTGAATGGTTATGTTCCTGGAAGACCATATGCAGAGCAAATTAGTGCAGAGTGAATTTAGTTTCATACAATATAATACAAAATAGATTGGAAGCCAGAGACCTCAACAATCTCACCTTTTCAATAAACAATCTAGGATGCAGCACTGAAATCCAAAAGTGAGGAAAACGTGAAAGATTTTTTTTAAGTTCACAAGGGCTGAACAATGTTTCTGACTCTGCTGGATACAAGAGGGAGGCAAGGCAGGTGAGGGCCAACATGCAGGGTTAACAAGAGATCAGAAAGATGCCTCGTGCACCACAGCAACAGCTAAGGTGCCTGTGATGACTCGTGCACCACAGCAACAGCTAAGGTGCCTGTGATGCCTCGTGCACCACAGCAACAGCTAAGGTGCCTGTGATGCCTCGTGCACCACAGCAACAGCTAAGGTGTCTGTGATGCCTCGTGCACCACAGCAACAGCTAAGGTGCCTGTGATGCCTCGTGCACCACAGCAACAGCTAAGGTGCCTGTGATGCCTCGTGCACCACAGCAACAGCTAAGGTGCCTGTGATGCCTCGTGCACCACAGCAACAGCTAAGGCGCCTGTGATGCCTCGTGCACCACAGCAACAGCTAAGGTGCCTGTGATGACTCGTGCACCACAGCAACAGCTAAGGCGCCTGTGATGCCTCGTGCACCACAGCAACAGCTAAGGTGCCTGTGATGCCTCGTGCACCACAGCAACAGCTAAGGTGCCTGTGATGCCTCATGCACCACAGCAACAGCTAAGGTGCCTGTGATGCCTCGTGCACCACAGCAACAGCTAAGGCGCCTGTGATGCCTCGTGCACCACAGCAACAGCTAAGGTGCCTGTGATGACTTGTGTCTAACCAAACCAATTCATGTACTCAATTTGAAATCTCCCACACGGCTGAATTAGCCTTTGCTAACACCGTGATGAACTGTACGAGACTTGCCCTGATGCCGTACACCCTGAACAAGTACAAGAGTTGAAAACAAAATTCACACATCACCAAACTCAAGCATTTTGAACCTGTGAAGATTGAGGGTCGATAGTTGTAACCATTTGTATGCAAGTAATATCTTTGATCACCATTTAAAGAATGAATACCAAAATACTCGAGTCAAGTTAGAGCTTAGTTCCGTTCTCAAACATTGATTCTAAGAAATATAAATTAAAAGTTATTGACAGCTCTAAATAAATAAAATACTGAAGAAATATAATGGATGACTATTGTAGTCCCAGCAAAAATATTAAAACCTCAGCACTAATAATGAGTTAAACAACACCTTGTCCAAACACATTCAGACATTGTCCAAACGTGTTTGATAGTTATTAGTACGCCAGTGCACCATGTTTTATCTATCCAAGGTGCAGTGCATTGTTCCCTCTAGTTCACAAAGGGTAGTAAGAACCCTTCCCAAATAGTTGAAGATGAGACAGAGACCCAAAATAAAGAGTCAAAAAGTTTAACAAAAAATCCCAAGACGGCTAAAGTTGAAGTAAAATAACAGGATCAATTACAGGATCTGGCCACTTTCTTGAGCATTTTTAAGCATTTATATATATATATCAGTACAGTACTGTACATATATACACATTATTTTAATGTTTTCATAGAAAATATTAAAAGGTGTTATTTTCAATCTAACTGTTCCACCACACTAGATGTACAGAGCAAGTGTGGCAATGTTTACTGTCAAGAATTTTTGCAAAGACTACAAAAATCTAAACTGCATTTGAAATGCTCAGACCCATAAATAATTATACCTGTAATTTAATTTCAAAATACAGTAAATAATTTACTGAATTCAAGTGTCCATGTGTAAAGAAATAAATATATTCAAAAGTATTAATTACGACCACATTTTAAGGTGTTTTTTTCTCTCTGAGATTTTGTAGCTTTGGTAAATAATACTTGTGTTCATATAATGTAGCTAACACGCCCCCTTCGTTCTTGTACTGTTCCCGGTGGCTGTAATCTATTGGTAAACCATCTAAGGTTGTCATGTTGCCCTTGACAGCATTTAGAATAGCATTCCCAGCACATATGTCCCATTTCTTTATAATCGTTACATGAATATACGCATCAACATCTCCTTGAATGACTGCAAGGGTCTTGTAGCCTGGAAGAGGAATATAAATCATCCCTTAAGAAAAGAAAACAAATGGGGATGTTTGGAGTCCCTCAATAGATCAATGATCACTACATACATTAACCCTCTTGTCTATGCTAATACTTCTGTGGGAAATTGGAAAATTTTTAACATCTTCTCCAAGCTTTGCTTTATTGAATAACAGTAGAGTCAAATTACAAAGGTACAAATAGAATGCAAAACAGTGCTTCAGAATGGTGAGAAGTCGTCTTGTACAATAAAGTTGTATATGCTAATTTCTTACAATAACTAATAAGACAAAATACTGTAAGGAAACAAAAAATTCAGATATATGTAATAGGTCAATAAGAACTGTTGATGCAATCACATACCTGCTCCACCAGCTGGAATTACTTCAGTCTTGTCTCCAAAGGCAGCCTTGGCCACTGCCTTCACATCGCCAGCATGTGACCGAGACACGATGATTTGCGGAATGTTGTCTTTTGGGCCTCCCTGTTTAAGAGTGATTCAAGGATGCATACATGACCTTTGATCTCCTTACCCAATGCATACCCTGGAAACACAAACCGAAACTGTCTCTATTTTCCGCTTGTTACAACTTGTAATAAAGTTGTTACATCTTGGCTTAACGTGTTTATGACGTATTAGAACGTTGTTACAACTTGCTATATTGGTTGTTATAACTGGTTAGGAGGTGTTATAACTTGTTCCAACGTTGTACCAACGTCGTAGTTTCGGTGTGTGTTTGGCGGGTAAACATTTATTTTCTTGGTAAAAATTATCATTCTTACACTCTCAGAATCCAAAGTGCTTGTTTATTGTGAAATTGTTTATTTGCTTACAAATGGGTTTTGTATGTTTGTACAATTATCACGAAGGCTAAGTACCACATATCACCTGTCAGAACTCAGAAATTAACTATACTGTACTGTACTTCTGATGACTTTATATTTAAAAGTTAATAATATTTGTTTTCATATAATTATGTACTAGTATACTCTTTTTGTGGAATAAACTTTGAAAATCTCTTTGCTACATTACTTTATCTCCTATGGGTAAATGCCTTCCCACACCACAAAAATGAAAATAAAGACAATAATAATGTTGAATTTTAATATATAATTCTTTATAATAAATTAATGTTAATATATATATATAAGTAAATAAGTAAATTTACAGTGTAGTATATATATATAAATATAAAGTGTATGCCAGGACTTGTAAGATCTCATCCTAGTTCTTCAATACACAGTATAAAAAAAGAAATATGATGAAAATGTTAATACTGAGAGGGGGTAATTAGCAAGGTCAGGAGGTGTGGTATAGAGCTAAATCTCACCCCACGTTGTCACCGACAGCTATACATTGCCTCATGCTACTGCAGACTGGCTTTCAAGGATGGCTTTCAGCTACAAAAAATAGACTATATACTACTGTAAAACATGAAAAAGGCCAAAGTGATTTTGTGTGTTCTTACAAACAACACAAAGAGGATAAAGACACACAAAATAGTCCCAATATAGTGCAAAGTGTGTGTGCTGCTGCTGCTGCTGCTCTGTATTACGTAAACTGCTTCACCATGTATCACTTTCTACAACTTTTGAGTGTTTCTGAATGGAACATAAACATGTACATATTGAGTGAGCAAGTGTATATATTGAGGAAACATTATTATTATTATTATTTGTGTAATTTAAAACAAAACATTATTTTTTTGTGCATATTAGTGACACGCATATATTAGCGTGTATCAATGTTCTGAATATTTTATTATACTCTATTAGAACATCAATTGACACCCTATTGAACAAATTCAGTGGAAAATTTATGAATAAATACCCAATTGATATTGTAAATATATGAAATTTTTTTTATTCGTGGCACCGCTCAGTGACTGAATGGCGACCCCTTCGGGATATTCACTGCTGGGAGAAGTATGAATTGATGACACCGTCGCATGTTTTCTCCTCTACAACCATGGCAAGGCTTATTTATTTTTTTGTTCCTGTTCCCTTGGTCAAGGAATACTTTTTATCAATAGAAGGAAAACATTTTGGACATTCTTTCGCGCACCAGGGTGTTACATCACATCAACAGTCAGGGGTTACGAACATTTGATTAAATATAACTTCTTGGAATATAATACTTGCTGGAAGTGTGTGAAACAGGTCATGTAAGCGAATTGCTTATACAAGTAATACAAAAAATTATATTTAATAAGTTATGTACTGTAATAAAATACCTCTGGTCATTTTTTCCCTAGCAAGATTCTTAATAATAAACCACACACCACGATGCTATACAGTAATAGCAAGAATGCAGCATGTGGTATCAGGAGTTGACTATAAGTACAGTACAGAACAGCACTGTAAAAAAATCATTAAACTTGAATAGCACACTAACCTGGCTTTCAGATATACGAAGCTTTGGGGAAACTCCTTTTCCAGACCAGCCCCAGGCAGTAAAGTTGACAAATGGTTTGTGGATGACCCCAATTGTTGGATAACCTTTCACAGCCACACACACCATTGTTGTCACGTACTCTCGCAGGTTTTCTGGGTGAACAAGGTTAGTGTAAGTCTAATAATCATAACAAAAAAAAAGTAGACTTGAAAGTGTATATGAAAAGTGCCTTCTGGGCAAGATATTCATCTGGGGCCAGATTCACGAAGCACTTACGAACATGTCCATCTTTTCTCAAAATTTGGCGGCTTTGTTTACAATTATTAAACAGTTAATGAGCTCGGAAACACTAGGAGGCTGTTTATAACAATAACAACAGTTGATGGGGGAAATTTTCATGCTTGTAAACTGTTTAATAAATGTAACCAAAGCCGTCAAAGATTGAGGAAAGATGTACACGTTCGTAGGCACTCGCGTAACTGCTTCGTGAATCTGGCCCCTGCTCCGTAACGTAAGAGTCCCCCCTGTCTTATGGACAGGGTCATAGCAGACAAGGTAACAGTCTGGCACCAGATCACAGTGAAATCTTTAGTCAATAATCAAATAGGTCAATAAGAACTTTGTGAGGGATGCCTTGTATAATATACGTAATATATGTAATACTGTATATGTAATGTAATATAGTGCCTTGTAGTGTGGCATTATATTGATATAGTAGTGTCATTGAGCCTCAAGGGGGGCTCTCTCCAGAATAAAACTAACTTAACACCTTATCTTGAGGTTATCTTGAGATGATTTCGGGGCTTTGGTGTCCCCGCGGCCCTGTCCTCGACCAGGCCTCCACCCCCAGGAAGCAGCCCGTGACAGCTAACTAACACCCAGGTACCTATTTTACTGCTAGGTAACAGGGGCATAGGGTGAAAGAAACTCTGCCCATTGTTTCTCGTCGGCGCCTGGGATCGAACCCAGGACCACAGGATCAAAGTTCAGCGTGCTGTCCGCTCGGCCGACCGGCTCCCCTTTACAGTACTGTATTTTACAATATTTCTTTTTGACTTGTATTTTTTTACAACAGTAATACATACGAGAACAAATCTTTAGTATTTATAGCACGTCTCTTATTTTAATTGTAATTTTGCATATAGATACAAAACTTTCACTACAATCAAGCAGACAAACTCGCACTCCCTCACCAGTGTACTCCTGAGTAGCATCAAGAGGATCTATCCAGACTCGAACATCTTTAATAGGGACAATGATGTCATCTGTGATGACACTATTCACTTCAGAGTTGTACGTCGAGGCTCGTGATACAGAGGATGTCTCCAAGTTACCGGAATCATGCTCTTCAGATATAATCTGGAGAAAAGAAATACAGAAATTGGTCATCCAAACAATGGCAAGCAAGACTAAAGGTGAAGCTCTAATGCTCATAATGACAAATTATGAAATCCTTGCTCAGTATTTAGAAATGTACACACAAACCACTTTTCCTAGAATGTATATAGATGCCTTAATGAACATTGTCAAGTATCACATTTAAGACAAAAAACCAATGTTGAATGTAATGAAACACGAGTGTTTCCACGAGCCTCACCCGAGCTAGGTGAGCCCCGGAGCCTCCCTGAAGCTATCAAACACTGATCAGTGCAATACTACTAGGTGCCATCAGCCATGGAGTTCCATTGACCTACCAGGGACCACGAGCCAGAACCTGAGTCCCCTCAGAGAGGTGCAGGAAGTGATGGCCTATGATCACTTCACATTTAAAGTGGTCTTGGAGGCAATTTGGGTGCTGCAGTCTTGTTTTAAAGCATACCGTAGTTCATTTTGGTTCATCTATCTTTCTGGGTGCCTTTCCCGATTGGAGGCAAGTATGATTCTTATAATATAAAGTGTTCATAGGCCATCACTCCCTGCACCTCTCTAATGCAGCCAGGTTCTGGCTCGTGGTCTCTGGTAAGCCGATAGAACTTCGCGACTGTTGGCACTTAGTAATATGGCACTGATCAGTGCTTAATAGCTTCAGAGAGCCAATGGAACTTCCCTCAGAAAACAGGCACTGAATGTAATGAAATGGCAATTTATGGGTAAACCACGGTGGCTCTCTGAAGTTGCTATCACTGATAGTGTGCCAACTACTAAGCCGCATCAGTTGCGGAGTTCTATATGGCCTACCGGGGACCAAGTGCCAGAACCTGGCCCTCCTCACAGAGGCACAAAAAGCAGCAGCATTTATTTACTTACTATGCCACCTTCAGGGAAGGCACCCAGAAATTCAGTGAGATAACACAGACCACTGCTGGCTTTAAAAAAGACCGAAGCCTCAAGAACCGCCAGCAGAACTCCCACCAACAATAAAAACAAATGATCAAAAAGTTTTGAAACTTGTACCACTGTGTTTATCCCAATCCCCTCCACCCCCTCCCCTTTTTTGGTGGGAAGGGTAAGGTAGTTTGCAGTCAGCCAGCAAAACCATCCTCAGTTCTATGGAAGATGTGAGAAACCCCCTCAATGTTTGGAGGGAGGGTGCCAGGGAGCTACCGGGGCTCACCCAGAAATTGGGGCTTCATTACATTCAATGCTGGTTTTCTGGGGGAAGCCCCTTGTGACTTCCTGAAGCTGTCTACCCATGGAGAAGGAACCAACTGGGAACCCACCAGTAAGGAGGAAGCACCACATGATCAGGATGAAACAAGAGAAACCAGGCCACAAGAACCTAAAGTCACAAGGAAGTTGGGGCCTGGGCACAGGAACAAGATACCAGGCTGTCAGAGACCCGCACAAGCACCAAAAACCCTGCAACCAAATATCAGTCCAGGATATGTTTGCTAACACATCTGAGACAGTGGTATAGTTCCAAACATCAAGGGCACAAGGACAGAGCGAAGGCTGGCAGGACTTAATGATACTGCAGATGACCGGAAAAATATGAGCCGTGGATTCGGGGGCCAAACAGATTGGATCGACCCACAGAACACTCACCAAGGCAGAACCAGTGGTCCAAAAGTAGTGGTGGAGAGCTACAACCAAACACAACACACAATGCGCCCCTGACCAAACCAACAAAGCATCAACCACCAAAAAAACCCTCCAGAAACGACCAACTCATTCTTCACCCAAAAAAAGGAGGGGAGCCTGTTGCAGATGAGTAACCGCTCACTTGGGCCCTCCAAAAATAAAAAAAAACATCTCCAGAGAAGTGTATGAAGCTCCTCAATCCTACAATCAGAGGTGAGGGAAACCAAAAACAAAGACTGGAAGAAACAGTTCCAGATTGAAGGGAACAACGGAAATGAGAAAAAAAACAAAACAAGAGAACATGGTCCAATGACCATGCAGGGTCAGGTGACACCTGAATAGGCCAGAGGTGAAACAAGGCACAAGATAATCTGCGAAAAGGAGCCTCGGAAGAACTGACCCTGAATACAAGATGCAGTGGCACCGCCAGCCCCGCACAAAATGAGGCAATAGCATCTGGCATGAGATGCCATTCAAGAAATCAAGGAACAATGACGCAAAGACAGGAAGTGGTGAACGAAGCACCACAAGATCACATACTGCCACCGAGAAACAATTTTTTTTTCCTCATCGCGGGGATGTCAGCATTTAACAGTTGCGCAGTGCAAGGGTTAAAGGGTGCAAGCAGCATGCCTTAGAAAAGTAAACATGAACACCCTGAGCTACCTCTAAGGAAGCAAACCCCCAGACTGTCATCCTCAAAGTCTAGCAGAGGAATAAAAGACATGTTAAGGATGGTACCTTACCTTACCTTGAGGTTACCTTGAGGTGTTTCCGGGGCTTAGCGTCCCCGTGGCCCGGTCGTCGACCAGGCCTCCTGGACTGATCAACCAGGCTGTTGGACGTGGCCTGGTAAGGGCAAGGCTCTCCCTCATAGAAGTACGGCACTCTCAGGGACACCCATCCAAACAAACCAGGAGAAGTAACCCTGGATAGGCAAGGGCAACACAAGTGAATGCCCAGAAATGATCACTCTAGATTTGTTCAGTTTGAGGTGAACAAGTAATCAGTCACACTCAAGAAGTGATGCATAAATAAACGCATCATGAAGTAAACACTGAAATATAGACAAATATACAAGCATATGGCCCCCAAAGGACAAAAGCAGTGTCCATGATGGCTAATATTTATCTGAATAACCAGAAATTAAAGACATGTTGAGAATGAGAGCATTACCGCAATGTCACAAACATGTATGCCAGACTAAATGACTGAGGTTCAAGACCAAGGAATCAAGGAGGAAGGTGCATACATGGAATTAATGAGTGAACTGCTTCACGACTAGATAATTCACCCGTTTGGGAGGTTTGTTGTCTCATTTTCTATGCATTGTTTACCATGCTGATTGTATGTTTTTGGTTCATCCACTTTTCTGGTGATCTTTTCTTGGTTAGGGTAATCTAGGATCTCCTGCTCATTGTGCCTCTTTTAGAAGAGGGTCAGATTTTGGCCTATGCCCACCAAACACACACCGAAACTACGACGTTGGTACAACGTTCAAACAAGTTTTAACACCTCCTAACCAGTTATAACAACCAATATAGCAAGTTGTAACAACGTTCTAATACGTCATAAACACGTTAAACCAAGATGTAACGACTGTATTACAAGTTGTAACAAGCGGAAAATAGAGACAGTTTCGGTTTGTGTTTCCAGGGTGGTCCCCAGTAGGCTTACAATGACTCACAATGGCTAGGTGTGGATTGAATTGGATAGAACTATCCAGGTAGTTAACACCATGGAGCCACCATAGTAGCCCTCCCAGACAACATCCATGTAACTGCTCTCAAAACAGAGTTGTTTTCCACAATCCCTGTACTGTATACAAAAGGTTATCTTGGTTATCTTGAGATGATTTCGAGGCTTTAGTGTCCCCGCGGCCCGGTCCTCGACCAGGCCTCCACCCCCAGGAAGCAGCCCGTGACAGCTGACTAACACCCAGGTACGTATTTTACTGCTAGGTAACAGGGGCATAGGGTGAAAGAAACTCTGCTCGTTGTTTCTCGCCAGCGCCTGGGATCGAACCCGGGACCACAGGATCACAAGTCCAGCATGCTGTCCGCTCGGCCGACCGGCTCCCCTAGTTTGGCTGGCTAGTTTTGTCCAGTTTAACTCTTAAGACCCTTTGAACCTTGGGATTGCACTAAATACTAGTGGGAAGAAGATACACAAAATGAAATTAATGTACTCAAAACTAAAATCCTACTTATCCATACCTCCACTTCTGGAAAACTCTTCTTGAGCGAGTAAAACATGGTCAAATGAGACTTCAAATCACCATTAGTAACCGGATCATTTGCACCCTCCTTTGTCTTGCCTTTGCTCTTCTCATTTAATTCAGCTGCCAAACGAATGTCGTATACCTGCAAATAATACATTTATATACACCTCATTTTAACATCATTCACTGTCTTGTAGAATATAGGAGAAAGAAAGATGGGGTCATGAATGACAAGGGTGGCAAAGGAAATGTTGGAGAATTGAGACCAATATTATGTGTTGGTAAACGTGACAAGAACCAAGTAGATGTACACTGGGGTCTGGTGGGGAAATATGAGAGAAGTGAAGCAGAGTAAACAAAAACAAAAGAAAAAATAAGAGTATGCACAATCTTGAGGTTATCTTGAGATGATTTCGGGGCTTTAGTGTCCCCGCGGCCCGGTCCTCGACCAGGCCTCCACCCCCAGGAAGCAGCCCGTGACAGCTGACTAACACCCAGGTACCTATTTTACTGCTAGGTAACAGGGGCATAGGGTGAAAGAAACTCTGCCCATTGTTTCTCGCCGGCACCTGGGATTGAACCCAGGACCACAGGATCACAAGTCCAGCGTGCTGTCCGCTCGGCCAATGATGTGATGACTTGTATTGAATTTTGTAACTAGCTCATCAAGATTGTAACTTGCTTAGCTAAATGAATTGTGGGGTTCAGTCCCTGAGCCCATTATGTGCCTCTGTAACCCTTTCCACTACCGCCCACAAGATGGGTATGGGGTGCATAATAAATGAACTAAACTAACTAAATGTTTCAAAGTACTGAAGTGTATATAGTACTAAAATGTATATCCATAATGAAAGTAACAGCTTTAATATAGGTAGATTAAAAGTGGTTTAATGCACAACTACTGGGCATAGTATGAAAAGATACAGTGAATGATAAATGCTTCATGTACAGTTTACAAAAAAGTTAGTATGAAGAGTATAGGTTATATAATCTATACTATAAAAGAGAATGTCTGACTTTTTTCTGTTCAAAGTTGAAGGCTTGCCTCACCCAAACTTGCAGGGGGAATGATCTGGGGCACAGGTTAATTAATCAATATAAAAGCACAGTGATAGCATAAGATTCCAATACCTTGTGAATGACTTTAGCGTGGTTTGAGCCCAAGGAATGGAGGGTTGTATGGGAACCTCTACTAAACTGTTTCCCTCTGCTCAGCATGCAGATTTGGGGTCCTGGTTGTAAATCGATTGGAGGGTTAGGTTCCGTGGAAAACTAGTAGGTAGGCTAAAGATGACCTATTGGAATTGAAAGCTCTAAAACCTGGTGACAAGAGTCAGAAGTTGTCTGCTCCTGCATCTGTGCTTAAAAATAAAAAAGTAATAACACCAAGGAGTTATTACTTATCAGGGGCCGGCCAGCCGAGCGGACAGTACACTGGACACGTGATCCTGTGGTTCCGGGTTCAATCCTGGGCGCCGGCGAGAAACGATGGGCAGAGTTTCTTTCACCCTATGCCCCTGTTACCTAGCAGTAAATAGGTACCTGGGTGTTAGTCAGCTCTCACGGGCTGCTTCCTGGGGGTGGAGGCCTGGTCGAGGATCGGGCCGCGGGGACACTAAAAAGCCCTGAAATCATCTCCAGATAACCTCCAGATAAAGTTATTATTAATCTAATATTCTTCACAATAAAATTGACTCACGATTCTTCCGCCTCGCTGCGCAGCATCTATGGCCGCAGAGAGAAGGCTTCTCAGGCTCACCACCGTGGCATTCTTCCCCATGCTTGACGGGTGCCCATACCTGTACAGCATGACCACCATCACCACACTGGTCACGATTATGGAAATTCCATACTTGTTTATTCGTATAGTGGCTCCCAGGTTCATCCTGCAGGCTGTGGTGTGGGGGGCCTCAGGTATATCATCTGAAACTACTGCCATTAACTAGATACATTTATTACAAGCTTAAACACTACTTGTAATCATAAAGCACTATCAAGTGCATTAATATTCTACTGAAGACTTTCTGTAGCAAAGAAAGGTTGTTGCTGTAAGCAAAGGTACTCTCAGTACCTGGGGTTAGCAATTTTGTTTTTTTGAGATATATACAAGAGTTGTTACATTCTTGTACAGCCACTAGTACACGTAGCTTTTTGGGCAAGTCCTTAATCCCACGGTTCGCGGAATACGACCTCCACGAAGAATTGTTTTTACAACCAAGTACACATTTTACTGTTGAGTTAAACAGAGGCTACAGTTAAGGCTTTGCGCCCATTAAATCCTCCCCGGCCAGGATACGAACCCATGACAAAAGCGCTCGCGGAACGCCAGGCGAGTGTCTTACCACTACACCACGGAGACTTACAATGTCATTAATTACCATTAATTATCTGCTATTAGAACAATATCTAACTCTGGCCCCAGACATCACTCTGTACCCTTACTCAAATCTCTAAATATGTTAGATATTAAGTCACTGCACATCCTCTCATGTGTACTCTATATATTTAAAACTCTGAACTGTAATGTCAATCATGACCTTAAAAGCTTCTTAGAAGGTTGTAACAGACCCCATGGGCACCACACCAGAAACAAATCTATTTGATATCCCAAGAGTAAGACTAAATCAAACTAGAAATGCTCTACAAATCAAGGGACCCCATAATGTGGAATGACCTTCCAATCATGTCAAAGACTATGCCTCTCTCAACCAGTTTAAGATAAAAACTAAAACCTACCTAATAAACTCCATGTAACCTACCTTACCCCTAAATGTCAACTCATGTCTTAGTATTGTAATCAATGCTGTTTGTTGACCAACTTGTATAATTGCTATTCTCTGCCTTGTTCCCCCCTTATTTTATTTTTTAGTTTTTCAACACAATTTATACTTCAAGCACATCTATGGGTCATCCAATAATGTTAGCAGACTTCTAGATGTTACCACTGCTAGGCTAAGGCTCGGCTACAAGTACCTCTGGCAGTTTGTAACATCTGCTGATGTAGATTTGACTAAATGTAAACTCTGTCAGCAGAACTACTCGCATACTTTGCGTCATTATATAATGGAATGTGAAAAAATTGCGGAATTTAGAGATAACACCATCAATAGTGTCCAAGAAATGTGTAAGTACTTCATTCATAATGATGTGCTGGCCGAAATCTTAGCGAAATATCCAAAATTTGCTTACTGTAGGTAATGCATGTACATGACTGTAAAGCTGCCGCCCAGTTGGGTGGGTGTGGAGCACATGACTGTAAAGCTGCCGCCCAGTTGGGTGGGTGTGGAGCACATGACTGTAAAGCTGCCGCCCAGTTGGGTGGGTGTGGAGCACATGACTGTAAAGCTGCCGCCCAGTTGGGTGGGTGTGGAGCACATGACTGTAAAGCTGCCACCCAGTTGGGTGGGTGTGGAGCACATGACTGTAAAGCTGCCGCCCAGTTGGGTGGGTGTGGAGCACATGACTGTAAAGCTGCCGCCCAGTTGGGTGGGTGTGGAGCACATGACTGTAAAGCTGCCGCCCAGTTGGGTGGGTGTGGAGCACATGACTGTAAAGCTGCCACCCAGTTGGGTGGGTGTGGAGCACATGACTGTAAAGTTGCCGCCCAGTTGGGTGGGTGTGGAGTACATGACTGTAAAGCTGCCACCCAGTTGGGTGGGTGTGGAGCACATGACTGTAAAGCTGCTGCCCAGTTGGGTGGGTGTGGAGCACATGACTGTAAAGCTGCCGCCCAGTTGGGTGGGTGTGGAGCACATGACTGTAAAGCTGCTGCCCAGTTGGGTGGGTGTGGAGCACATGACTGTAAAGCTGCCGCCCAGTTGGGTGGGTGTGGAGTACATGACTGTAAAGCTGCCGCCCAGTTGGGTGGGTGTGGAGTACATGACTGTAAAGCTGCCGCCCAGTTGGGTGGGTGTGGAGCACATGACTGTAAAGCTGCCGCCCAGTTGGGTGGGTGTGGAGTACATGACTGTAAAGCTGCCGCCCAGTTGGGTGGGTGTGGAGTACATGACTGTAAAGCTGCCGCCCAGTTGGGTGGGTGTGGAGCACATGACTGTAAAGCTGCCGCCCAGTTGGGTGGGTGTGGAGTACATGACTGTAAAGCTGCCGCCCAGTTGGGTGGGTGTGGAGTACATGACTGTAAAGCTGCCGCCCAGTTGGGTGGGTGTGGAGCAAGACTAGTAACTGTGTGACTTACCATAGATGTAAAGTGCCTTGTATAGTGACTGTTGTGAGCCTCTTGTTGAATCACTTGACACAAAGATTATTGATGTGTGTATTTGTATAGGTGATTGAGTATGTATGTGTATATATATGTACATGTATGTATGTATGAGTATGTGTACATGTATATATTAATAATATATACATACCTCACCTTGCCCGAAACACTATGCGTACTAGTGGCTTTAGATATTGTATATACTATCTCTATCTTTAAATCCAACATTATATATGTACCTTTACCTGAATCTAAATCTAAATCTAATAACAGCCGCCATGTATCAAATTCACCTACAATTTCAACTAAGAGTGATGTCAGTTTACTGCCACCTGTGCACCACTAGTTTACAAACTCTAATTGTGTAATAATACAAGTAATAATACAACCAAATAAGTGACGTACAGAGGACGGGTCCCGTCAGCTGGCCGCAGGTGCTGCTGCTGCCTCCGTGGACAACAACACCCACTCTTCTTTACCCAGGAGCAACAACGACCGTCTCTTCTTTACCCAGGAGCAACAACGACCGTTTCTTCTTTACCCAGGAGCAACAACGACCGTTTCTTCTTTACCCAGGAGCAACAACGACCGTCTCTTCTTTACCCAGGAGTAACAACGACCGTTTCTTCTTTACCCAGAAGCAACAACGACCGTTTCTTCTTTACCCAGGAGCAACAACGACCGTTTCTTCTTTACCCAGAAGCAACAACGACCGTTTCTTCTTTACCCAGGAGCAACAGCGACCGTCCTTTCTTTACCCAAGAGTAACAACGACCGTCTCTTCTTTACCTAGAAGCAACAACGCCTGTGTCTTCTTTACCTAGGAGCAACAACGCCTGTGTTTTCTTTACCCAGAAGCAACAACGCCTGTGTCTTCTTTACCTAGGAGCGACAACGCCTGTGTCTTCTTTACCTAGAAGCAACAACGCCTGTGTCTTCTTTACCTAGAAGCAACAACGCCTGTGTCTTCTTTACCTAGGAGCAACAACGCCTGTGTCTTCTTTACCTAGGAGCAACAACGCCTGTGTCTTCTTTACCTAGAAGCAACAACGCCTGTGTCTTCTTTACCTAGAAGCAACAACGCCTGTGTCTTCTTTACCCAGAAGCAACAACGCCTGTGTCTTCTTTACCTAGGAGCAACAACGCCTGTGTTTTCTTTACCCAGAAGCAACAACGCCTGTCTCTTAACCAAGGAACATTACCGCCTCTTATTGCACTCAATACTCAGTCACACTTTCACTACAACATCCTACTTTACAAATCCAAATCGAAATTGTAATTAGGAAATTTAATGTCAATTAAACTCTCGATCAAGGTATTTCTGTATTTAGATTCAGCGATATTATGTGTATCGGCGTTGTTCATACTGGAATTCCATCCCACGAGAGATGTACTCACCTAGTTGTACTTGCGGGGGTTGAGCTTTGTCTCTTTGGTCCCGCTTCTCAACTGTCAATCAACTGGTGTAAATATTGCTAGATTGAAGGTTGCTAATGTAGTAGCAATTTTTAAGAAAGGAGATAGATCACTTGCGTCAAACTATCGGCCAATTAGCCTAACGTCTATTGTGGGAAAGTTACTTGAAACGAGTCACAACATGGTTTTATAAATGGCCTGTAGCGAGTAGATTATCCCAATAATATACTCGCTCCAAATGCATTGTTAATATTCCTGTCAACCTTTGGAGATGAATGAGGTGAGGCGTTGCCCGGGCAACACGGTGAGGTGTTGCCCGAGCATATAAGCAGCAGAATAGCAAACATTAACCAGCTAATCCCAGGCCCATCTCTCTCCAAAGCTGTGCAGCCAAGACGGCTGACAGAATGGCACTCAACAGACTGGAGTGGAAAATGCCTAAACTGCACCATGATATGTATGCCTATAGAAGAGGGGTTGGCACAGTGGAATGTATTACAACTCTGTTAGCCCACTTGAATGACAGACCAGGAATGCTGATATTCCTGGACCTCCAAAAAGCCTTTGAACTGGCTAGCGCCCCAGCTATTCTCTGCTGCCTCATTGAGAAAGAGGTCAGAGGCAACCTGCTCTCCTGGACCAAAACTGTCTCATAAACAGAGAAGCAAGAGTAAAACTTCATGGCACAGTCTCTGAGTACAAAAGACATGAAAATGGTACACCGCAAGGAGGTATTCTTAGCCCTCTTCTCTTCAACTGTTTAATGGAAAGAATAATGAGGTTGAAACTCCCACATCACTGCAGGCTGCTAAGCTACGCGGACGACTTTGTCATCATCATAAAAGGAAGGGATGCGGCGCGCCTTGCACCCAAATGCTTAGACTGCATCAGTAATAGGCAAAACAGATTGGGATCAAACTCAACCCCTCAAAGTCAAAGGCCATGCCCATAAAAATAGCGAAGCCCAACATCCAACTCACAGTACAGGGTCAACCAATAGAATGGGTCGACACCTATCAGTATCTAGGAATCATCCTGGACACACACATGAATTTTAATGCTGAGGTCACATACTTGAGAGAGCGAACTGCGGCCCGGACGGCAATCCTCAGGTCGCTAACCTCCCTTTCTGGAGGAGTCAATCTGCAAGTCCTTCGCACATACTATGTACAGGCAGTCAGATCAGTGATCGATTATGCGGCACCTGCACTCACAAATCTATCACACCAACAGTGGAAAAAGCTTGAAGTTGCCCAAAACAATGCTATGAGAGCTACACTGGGAGCCCCCATGTGGACCAGGCTTGAAACTCTTAGACTGGAGACGGGTTTGCCCTCTCTACAAGAAAGAATATCACAAAGGACAGCTACAATTATCAGTAAGATAATTATTTCTTCTGATCCAATCCCAGTACGGCAGGCTTTGGTGGTTGGACTAGGCCAAAACAATGGAAACTCTTGGGTTGCAAGAGCAGGAAAAGTCCTAAACAGACTACATTTAAAAAACATGATTCTTGATAGAGAGGGTTCATGATTCATTCACACCCAAATTACACTCCTTCCGCGCCGTGGGAAGAGCCTACTTTCAAAATAGTAATAGAAAGTCTCCCAATGAAAAAGGCTGCCTATGATCCGACAATCCTAAGGCGCATAATAGAAGAGCAAATGTATAGCATAGCAGTAGCAGGAGCCACCCACATCTTCACAGACGGATCGGTGGACACAGAATATGAGAGTGCTGGCGCTGCTCTTTGCACGACCAGCGTTCAGGCATATTGGAGACTGGGAGGACTAGTATCATCAACCCAAACTGAGCTGTTCGCCATACAACAGGCATTCGCATATGTGATTGCACAAAACACTCAAAATGCAATCATACACACAGACTCAAAAGCTGCACTTCAAATACTAGGACAAAAACAGTGGAAAGATAATGTGGAAATAATTACCACCATTTTGTATCAAGGAGCAGTCGCTAAAGGCAAAGGCCTCAACATAACTTTAAACTGGATCCCATCCCATATTGGAATCCCATTAAATGAAAAAGCTGATGAAATTGCTAAATTGGCAACTCGTCATCCAGTGATACATAAAACAATTCAACCCAGCCTAGAGAACATAAAAAACATCATCATCAAAAAATTCTCACATCTCAACAAAGCCTACCTACACCAGAGAATAGTTGAAGGTTCGCCATCTGCAACATGGTATCTTCAGGCAACCAAATTAGAAAGGTTAAATATCCCAAAAGGAATCCACAGGGAAATAGCAGTTAGGCTATATAGACTACGTCTAGGTTACAGATGCAACTGGGAGATTGGTGAACCCCGACAGAGAGAGTGCATCTTCTGCCAAACTGTCACAGAAAAGCCATTACTTCACTATCTTCTGGAATGTGAAGCAACCAATGACCTTAGAAGAGCTTTAAGAGTTCCTGAATCATGCAGTGGCCACCCTGAAGCCATCAACACAGCCACTCTCCTGGTCAACAAAGGTGTCCAGCAGCTGGACACCCTCATAAAGACTGTGAAGCAGTATCCTCCCCCACGATAACAGCTTGATGGTTAAATGCAACCTCAGAACACTGGGAAAAAAAATTGTACCACTTACGGGCTATTCATGCCCGTGCCACCTCTTGGGTGGCTTAATCTTTATCAATCAATCAATCTGATACGGCCTAGTATCATCCTGTCTACCATCCCCACTGTCACATTCTCCAGGCCCAGTGCAGGATCGTCCATCACCTAGGCAGACCGCCTCAGCCATTTCCTCGATACACAAAGGCACTGTATCACTGCAACAGTCGAGAACAAATTCACAACATCTAGCTGCAGCAGCCACGTGCAAACACGAAGATGCGGAGCAACACGTCCTCCTCGCATCATGCAGCAGACCGCACTGTAGGCATATATGTTGGATATACCCCATGAGAGTTTGGAAGCTGAGATACACAGACTGTTGGGTCAATGTCGGAAGAGATTACAACCTCTGAAGGCCTTGGCATGATGTGGAAAGGGAGTGGGAGTCGATTGATTGATTGACGAAGATTAAGCCACCCAAGAGGTGGCACGGGCATGAATAGCCCGTAAGTGGAGGCCCTTTTCAGCCATTACCAGTATCAAAAGATGATACTGGAGATCTGTGGAGGCGCAACTGCACCCTGCGTGACGGGAGATGTCTCCCGGACCAAATGGTCACGAGTGGGAGTCGATGATGATGATGATGAAGATTAAGCCACCCAAAAGGTGGCACGGGCATAAATAGCCCGTAAGTGGTGGCCTTTTTAAGCCATTACCAGTATCAAGAGCTGATACTGGAGATCTGTGGAGGTGCGAATGCACCCTGCATGATGGGAGATGTCTCCCTTGTGAATGTGTTAAGATGAAGATGAAGCCACCCAATAGGTGGCACGGGCATGAATTGGTAAGTGGTAGCCCTTTTGAGCCATCACCAGTATCAATAGATGATACTGGAGATCTGTGGAGGTGCGACTGCACCCTGCGTGACGGGAGATGTCTCCCGTGTTTTAAACAGACGAAGATGAAGCCACCCAAAAGGTGGCACGGGCATGAATAGCTCGTAAGTGGTGGCCCTTTCGAGCCATCACCAGTATCAAGAGCTGATACTGGAGATCTGTGGAGGTGCAAGTGCACTCTGCGTGACGGGAGATGTCTCCCATGAATGTGTCCAAGATGACGATTAAACCATCCAAAAGGTGGCACGGGCATGAATAGCCCGTAAGTGGTGGCCCTTTTGAGCCATTACTAGTATCAAGAGCTGATACTGGAGATCTGTGGAGGTGCAACTGCACCCTGCGTGACGGGAGATGTCTCCCGGACCAAGTGTGTGGTGTGGAGAGAGGGAGTCCCTGTGCTACGAATGATATACTTGAGTACTGTAAGATCTCTTATTGATTATGCTGCACCTGTCATTTCTTGTTTTGGTAAAGGTAGGATGGGCAAGTTGGAGAAGGTACAAAATGAAGCCATGAGAATTATCTTAGGATGCCCAAGAAATGCTATGATTGAGATAATGAGGATGGAGTTGAATCTGCAGTTGGAGTATTGGGGATAGAATTGTAGAGATAAATGTAGCCTCTGCCATTAAATTAATGAGAGGTGGGGGAGCTAATGAATTAATTCTCTCGGTTCAAAAGGTGGGAAGTAATGAACAGTGTATGATGAAGAAGAGAGTATATATGAATAACTTATGTTCTAATGTTATAAAGTATGATGTTATTACAGTGTATTGCTGTGCCCAAGAGAAAATTCACACCACCATGGGAGGATTGTAATGTAGATGTAGTAATTACTCCCTTGCAAAAGAAAAATAAGTATGTATGAAATAGGAGAGCTGAGGGCAACATATGATTGTATAATTAGAAAACTGCCTACAGAAAACACTCTACATGTATATTGTGATGGGTCAGTAGCTAGGGATGGGAAGGCAGGATGTGGAGTCTTGATCAGGGAGTACACTGACATCGGCACTGTAGATACTGTTATTGGACGCCGCTTAACTGACAATATCTCTTCAACGCAGGCTGAACTCCAAGGTGTATTATCAGGATTAAAGGAAGTAGTCAAATGTGGTAAAAATGCTTGCTTCTTTATTGACAGCAGAGAAGCGTTAGAATCTTTAAATAGCAGACGCCCAGTATACCAGAATATTGTGATAGAGTGTAGAGAGAATGTTAAGAAATTAGAAAAAAATGGGTATAAAGTAAGATTCATGTGGATCCCTTCACATGTGGGAATACTGTTGAATGAGGTACTTGAATGAATGAAGTCTACTTGGAAGGATTCAATTTACATGAGATTAAGATTAGGATACAAATATATCAGGCAATACGGTGTTGATTTCAGTGAAAAAGATAAGGAGTGTAAATTATGTAGTATGCCGCACGTCCACACCTTAGAACATTATGTATTAGAGTGTCAACTTATTGATAACTATAGAAATAAGTAGTGTACCACATTAAATTGTTTGTATGTGTAATAATGGAATGATAGACAGTATACTTAGGAGCTACAAGAATTTTGCCCCAAGAGTGTAACAATTATATGCTATGCTTACTATATTAACCTGCAATGTTAAATGGGATTCTTGTAATGTTATTTGTCTATTTGTACTCACTGAATTTGTGCGCCCCTTGAGGGACTTGAAGTAGAGGGGGATAGAAATAGCCTAAGCTACTCTATCCCTTTAAGATGTATTTCTTTCTTATCTCAATAAACATACTTGAACTTGAATTGAACCACCCCATACTCATCCTTTAATTATTTATTATTATTCATTAATAATTATTTTTATTATATATCCCTCGACATAGAGGTGTGAGAGACCTGTACACACACACACACACATTTTTTTATTTACACAGGTAGGTGTAAACATGCTAGTTATTAGATAAGGTAAAATACACAAATTATTTATTTATTCATTTATTTATATACAAGAAGGTACATTGGGTTTGTGAGAATACATAGCATAGTATTTACAATCTTATAAAGTCACTATAGTACGTGCAGCGTTTCGAGCAGGTCCTTAATCTAACAGATAATTTTAAGTAGGTAAATTCTAGCAGAATTAATAAAATGATAACAGATACATTGCAAGAAAAAAATGAGATGAGAGAGATTAATAAGTACTGTATATTAAAGTACATTGGTATATTAAATGTATTACTTAATAACGAGGGTTAGGCTGCTATACTTTATCAATAAAGTAGAGTCAAATAAGTTTTATTATCAACCTAAAAATGTAAATAAAACGATGAGGCATCCAATGTGCAGCGATACTTCTCCATGAGATCGGTACCAATTATAAGGGGGGACCTTTCCCCAGGGAGTACCTGTAGCTGGTTTTCAATGTAGGTGTCGCCTCCCATGTGGATCCGAACCGTTTTGGGTGGGTTATTTTCCAAAGAAATGCTTTCCAGGAACAAGCTTGAAATGCCGGTTTCATGTGAACCTGTATCAACCAGTATCTTATCGGTTACTGTATTTTGTGCTTTATGTGGTAACTTCATTCTGATGTAAGACTGTTTCGAAGAGGCCAATCCAAATCCTTTATATTTATGGGGTCTTAGTTTCTTAAAGTAGAGCGATGATTTATTACTGTGAAACTACTGTATGACATGGTACTCGGTCATTAATGGGAAAGAAAAATTAAAATTTGGGATTGGGTCGTGGTCGTAGTAATTGTCCATTTCCGGAGGAAAAATGTCTACTCTTGCGGTCAATTCATTGCCGTTTTGTAACTGTAAATTAACATTGTTTACTGTACTCATAATGACGTCTTTTAATTCCCTAAAAAGACCTATTTTAGTGGAGTAGGTCTCGGACACCATCTTATTTAATCCTAGTACTACTGCTTCTCGGTGTTCTATAAAATTCATTGTCGCCCCGCTGTCAACGAACATAGTAGAGGGTTTCCCATTAATTTTCACTTGGAGGTGATTATGGTCCTCCAGAGCAACCTCCTCTATACCCTCTAGTGTCGGGGGATCACACATTATAGGCTGATGAAGGAAGTATATTGTCAGCACCTCGCCATTGTCGCTGATCTCATAGCACCTGTCTTCGAGTTTTGGTCTTTTTCTGTGGCTATTGTGCTCATCCAGGAGCCTTTTGGATCCGCCTACGACTCTTTTCATGCCAGTAGCCATGACTGAGGAGAGTGGAGAGGGACTGGAGCTGAAGCTCGACCCTTCGTCCATATTCTCGTCTTATATTGGGTCTCTGTCTCGGACTCGAACTGTAAAATATATCCTAGATCCATCATAATATAGTCATGTACATCTTTTAGAATTAACTTTCAATGGCGGTTTTGTATTTATAAATTTATATTTTGTGGTAAATACACAAGTAAATACACCAGTAAAGTATATTTTGTATTATAATAATAATTCCAATTTTTGAGAAGAGCGGGAAAATATTAATAATGTGCGCCGTGTTCGGAGACTGGACCAAGTACGAGAAGGTGCAGCCCCGCTGGACGGGGAACAAGGCATATAAACTGCTTTATGCAGGTGCTGACATATATGGGAACCTTACTAACTTTACTTAGCTCAACCTAACACAACCCAGCCAAATACAGTCTAACCTAAGCTAATACATCCAGGCATAACAATATACAAAAAAGGTTTTAACCAAGAAAACCTGGTCGTATGGTCGTATTTAACCTGGTCGTATTCCAGGGAACATGAGATTAAGGATTTGCTCGAAACGCTACGTGTACTAGTGGCAGTACAAGAATGTAAGAACTCTTGTATATATATAAATAAATAATAACAAAATAATAAATAATAAGAGAAAATGAGATTGTTGGAATGGTCTGGTGTGATAAGCGACCACAACACTCAGTCAGCTGAGGGGAGTCTCTCTCTCTCTCGCTCTCGCGCGCTCAAGGTAATGTTTATATATATTTCTTTATATACACAAGAAGGTACATTGGGGGGGTTATGAGGGTACATAGCAATGATGTTTTTACATTCTTGTAAAGGCACAAACACGCATAGCATTTCTGGCAGGGCCTTAACCTAAATGATTTTGAAGTAGGTAATTTGTAGCAAAATGTTGGCCTGTGATGGAGTTGTTTTGAGATAAGGACGTTTTTATTTCAGTTGTCTCTCATGAAATTACTTGCGGCACTTTACTAAATCCATAGTGAGGGGGATGAAATGATGGCTGTAAGTGAAGAGTCAGAATGAAACGAAATTCATATCATATATCTGGTAATAATTTATATTTTTTTTAAGGTAATAAAGAATTACCTACAGTTTTTTTTTACAGTCTCCGTGGTGTAGTGGTAAGACACTCGCCTGGCGTTCCGCGAGCGCTATGTCATGGGTTCGTATCCTGGCCGGGGAGGATTTACTGGGCGCAATTCCTTAACTGTAGCCTCTGTTTAACGCAACAGTAAAATGTGTACTTGGATGAAAAAACGATTCTTCGCGGCAGGGGATCGTATTCCAGGGACCATAGGATTAAGGACTTGCCCGAAACGCTACGCGTACTAGTGGCTGTACAAGAATGTAACAACTCTTGTATATATCTCAAAAAAAAAAAAAAAAAAAAAAAAAAAATTATTCAGGGCTGTGGTTTATAGTGAAGTTCTGGGGGGAGATTCCCTGGACAATTTTAGATTATATGAAGTTCACTATGGATTTTCCCATATGAAGATGTATTTGGTTAGGGTAAGATGTATTTGGTTAGGGTAAGATGTATTTGGTTAGGGTAAGATATAGGATTGGTATAAGATATAGGATATAAGATATAAGATATAAGAGGGAGCCGGTCGGCCAAGCGGACAGTACGCTGGACTTGTGATCCTGGGTACGATCCCAGGCACTGGCGAGAAACAATGGGCAGAGTTTCTTTCACCCTATGCCCCTGTTACCTAGCAGTAAAATAGGTACCTGGGAGTTAGTCAGCTGTCACGGGCTGCTTCCTGGGGGTGGAGGCCTGGTCGAGGACCAGGCCACGGGGACACTAAAGCCCCGAAATCATCTCAAGGTAACCTCAAGGTAAGATGTATTTGGTTAGGGTAAGATGTATTTGGTTAGGGTAAGATATATTTGGTTAGGGTAAGATATTTTTGGTTAGGTTAAGATATTTTTGGTTAGGGTAAGATGTATTTGGTTAGGGTAAGATGTATTTGGTTAGGGTAAGATATATTTGGTTAGGGTAAGATGTATTTGGTTAGGGTAAGATGTATTTGGTTAGGGTAAGATGTATTTGGTTAGGGTAAGATATATTTGGTTAGAGTAAGATATTTTTGGTTAGGTTAAGATATTTTTGGTTAGGGTAAGATGTATTTGGTTAGGGTAAGATGTATTTGGTTAGGGTAAGATATATTTGGTTGGAGTAAGATGTATTTGGTTAGGGTAAGATGTATTTGGTTAGGGGGTTTTTGGTTAGAGTAAGATGTATTTGGTTAGAGTAAGATGTATTTGGTTAGGGTAAGATTTATTTGGTTAGGGTAAGATATATTTGGTTAGGGTAAGATATATTTGGTTAGAGTAATATTTTTGGTTAGGTTAAGATATTTTTGGTTAGGGTAAGATGTATTTGGTTAGGGTAAGATGTATTTGGTTAGGGTAAGATGTATTTGGTTAGGGTAAGATGTATTTGGTTAGGGTAAGATGTATTTGGTTAGGGTAAGATGTATTTGGTTAGGGTAAGATGTATTTGGTTAGGGTAAGGTATATTTGGTTAGGGTAAGATACATTTGGTTAGGGTAAGATATATTTGGTTAAGGTAAGATATTTTTGATTAGGATAATAGGATAAGTTAGGTCATTTCAGATTATTTTGGGATGGGTAAGAGTGGTTGGTTGGCCACAGCTCTCAGTCTTGTCGCCAAGTTGTTTAACAGCCAGGTACCCAATCACTGCTGGGTGTACAGATGCGTACAGTTAATGATTGGCGCCTTCCCGGTCAGGATGCAAACCCAGGCCAAAGCACTTGAAAAGTGCCGGACGAGTACTTTACCACTGTGCCACAGGTTCATTGTCGAGAGACAGGTAGCCAAATTGTATTAGGCTATGTTAGGCTTATATTCAGGCCTTCCCCCCGAGGTCAAATTATTGACCCCCAGAATGCAACCCCACAACAAGCTGACTAACTCCTGGGTTATCTTGAGATGATTTCTGGGCTTTAGTGTCCCCGCGGCCCGGTCCTCGACCAGGCCTCCACCCCCAGGAAGCAGCCCGTGACAGCTGACTAACACCCAGGTAAATATTTACTGCTGGGTAACAGGGGCATAGGGTGAAAGAAACTCTGCCCATTGTTTCCCGCCGGTGCCCGGGATCGAACTCGGGACCACAGGATCACAAGTCCAGTGTGCCGTCCGCTCGGCCGACCGGCTCCCCCACTGTTCCACTACCGGGTACTGTTCCTATTTTTCTGCTAGGTGAACAAGGAGCATTAGGTGATAGGAAATGTGCATAAACATTTCTGTTCTGCCCAGGATTTGAACCCAGAATTCCCGAGTTTGAGTCGAGAATGAACCCAGCTACAATGTGGGATAATATTAAGATGAAATTAGGTACTTCATTGTTCTACTTTTGAATAAAGTGTAAGTTGTACAATTTTTTAAATCATTAGGGAGTGAGTTCCTTATATTGGTATACAGTACAGTGTATCTCTTGCCATGACATTATGCCGCAGTGTAATCTGGTCAGTTGCCAAACAAAATACAACGGTTCAGATCGGTGAGGAGGGGAATCATCAAAGATTGTCACCTGTTTTGTTATTCTGTGAGATTCATTTATAATGTTTGTGGCATGTTTTATTTAAACCCGTTCCATTTTTATATCAAATTGGAACAAAAATTGTTATTTTTCTGCTTTGTTACAACACCAAATAATGTTGCTTCATTCTGTAATTGTTTATAAATTTGTTAATCTCACTAGAGATATCCCTGCAGTATCTGGATTGAGAAACTCTAGCTAACATAATGATTCATTATCACCCTAACACATTTCCTAATTCACTCTTTACACAAATATCCGTAAGCCGTTAAGAAAGTGAATTTGTTGCAGCCTCCACACCAAGATCATGGCATCAGGATACTCCCTTGTGAATGGCGAGCAGAGGGGGGTAAGGGGGCAGCGATCGTATGGAACCACAAATCCAACTGTGGGATTTGCTCCTGCAGCAAGTTCAGCAACGGAATTCTTTCAGGTATGCTTCAATTAATCTGACAAAAATAAAATTTAAGGGTTATCAAACAATAATAAATTGTCTTTTAAGCCTAAAAATGTTAGTTCATAAAAGTAATGTGATTTTATCTTTATAAATTCAATTGGGTTAAAAAATGTAGTGTTATTACTGAATATCTTTTGTGGGGAGGAATCCTTTGTGGCTCTGTGAAGCTAGTATATGCTGAGATGGTACTGTTTACTAGATCACATCAGCCATGGTGTTCTATTGGCCTGCTGGGGACCAGCACCAGAACCTGGCCTTCTCACACAGGTGCAAGGAGTGGTGACATTTATTTTCACCTCCTCCTGGGATCATTCCCAGCATCCCGGGAATGGTCAGGAATTTGACCTTGTGAAATACAGAGTACAGAGGACGGCACAGAGACCTTGTGGGACTGAGGACAGCACGGAGACCTTGTGGGACTGAGCACAGAGGACAGCACAGAGATCTTGTGGGACTGAGGACAGCACCGAGACGTTGTGGGACTGAGCACAGAGGACGGCACAGAGACCTTGTGGGACTGAGGACAGCACGGAGACCTTGTGGAACTGAGCACAGCAAGGAGACCTTGTGGGACTGAGCACACAGGACAGCACAGAGACCTTGTGGGACTGAGCACACAGGACAGCACAGAGACCTTGTGGGACTCAGGACAGCACGGAGACCTTGTGGGACTGAGGACAGCATGGAGACCTTGTGGGACTGAGGACAGCACGGAGACCTTGTGGGACTGAGCACAGCACGGAGACCTTGTGGGACTGAGCACAGCACGGAGACCTTGTGGGACTGAGCACAGCACAGAGACCTTGTGGGACTGAGCACACAGGACAGCACGGAGACCTTGTGGGACTGAGCAAAGCACAGAGACCTTGTGGGACTGAGCAAAGCACGGAGACCTTGTGGGACTGAGCACACAGGACAGCACAGAGACCTTGTGGGACTGAGCACAGCACGGAGACCTTGTGGGACTGAGCACAGAAGACGGCTCGGAGACCTTGTGGGACTGAACACAGAGGATGGCACGGAGAAATTGTGGGACTGAGCACAGAGGACGGCACGGAGACCTTGTGGGACTGAGCACAGAGGACAGCACGGAGACCTTGTGGGGCTGAGCACAGAGGACAGCACGGAGACCTTGTGGGACTGAGCACAGAGGACGGCACAAAGACCTTGTGGGACTGAGGACAGCATGGAGACCTTGTGGGACTGAGCACAGCACAGAGACCTTGTGGGACTGAGCACAGCACGGAGACCTTGTGAGACTGAGCACAGCACGGAGACCTTGTGGGACTGAGCACAGAAGATGGCACGGAGACCTTGTGGGACTGAACACAGAGGATGGCACGGAGACCTTGTGGGACTGAGCACAGAGGACGGCACGGTGACCTTGTGGGACTGAGCACGGAGACCTTGTGGGACTGAGCACAGAGGACAGCACGGAGACCTTGTGGGACTGAGCACAGAGGACAGCACGGAGACCTTGTGGGACTGAGCACAGAGGACAGCACGGAGACCTTGTGGGACTGAGCACAGAGGACGGCACAAAGACCTTGTGGGACTGAGCACACAGGACAGCACAGAGACCTTGTGGGACTGAGGACAGCACAGAGACCTTGTGGGACTGAGGACAGCACGGAGACCTTGTGGGACTGAGCACAGAGGACAGCATGGAGGCCTTGTGGGACTGAGCACAGAGGACAGCACGGAGACCTTGTGGGACTGAGCACAGAGGACAGCACGGAGACCTTGTGGGACTGAGCACAGAGGACGGCACAAAGACCTTGTGGGACTGAGCACACAGGACAGCACAGAGACCTTGTGGGACTGAGGACAGCACAGAGACCTTGTGGGACTGAGGACAGCACGGAGACCTTGTGGGACTGAGCACAGAGGACAGCATGGAGGCCTTGTGGGACTGAGCACAGAGGACAGCACGGAGACCTTGTGGGACTGAGCACAGAGGACGGCACAAAGACCTTGTGGGACTGAGCACAGAGGACAGCATGGAGGCCTTGTGGGACTGAGCACAGAGGACAGCACGGAGACCTTGTGGGACTGAGCACAGAGGACGGCACAAAGACCTTGTGGGACTGAGCACAGAGGACAGCACAGAGACCTTGTGGGACTGAGCACAGAGGACAGTACGGAGACCTTGTGGGACTGAGCACAGAGGACGGCACAAAGACCTTGTGGGACTGAGCACAGAGGACAGCACGGAGACCTTGTGGGACTGAGCACTAGGACGGCACAAAGACCTTGTGGGACTGAGCACACAGGACAGCACGGAGACCTTGTGGGACTGAGAACAGCACAGAGACCTTTTGGGACTGAGGACAGCACGGAGACCTTGTGGGACTGAGCACAGAGTGCTCCAAGTTTAGCTAAGTCATTTGCTTGTAAGGAGGCAATTGATTATCATCTCTGATTGCCTCAGAGCAGCCTGAGGGCAGCATTATACTGAGAAACTCAAGAAAATTTAGTTGACTTGAGGCAAAGTTAAATAATTAATAATTATTGTTATTATTAAAATTAACATAGTTCACCTATAGTAAACAGATATCACCTATGTCTCCTTATTTTAGTATTTTGGATGATTTTAAGGCTTAATAATTAAGGTTGTAGTGAAGTTGTCAGCGAAGATGATAGCTGTTGACGAATGAATACTCTTTAGTAAAGTAGTTTACTCTTTACTGCCCCCTCACTGTTTGGCCCGTTGCCGCCGTGAGGAGCCTTGATGGACAGCTGCAGGAGTGTGATGCTCCATGGGTCCGTCCTCTGTCCTTTGGCAGCCTTATGCTCCTGCTGCTGCCTTTACCAATTTTGCCAGACCCCTTTTCCTTTTCCTCATGTTTCATTGTTCTCCCCCCTCTTCTCCTATCAAATTGTCATTTCCTGCTGACCTTTTGCCTGATCTGGTTATTCTTTCAACCTTCTTTTGTTTTGATGCCCGGGTGTTTGAGGAGGCATACTCTTGCACCCGTAGAACTGTAGTACCCAACGTCTCGAGCGAGGGGACCCTTTTATTGTCAATCCTCCTTTCGTAACTGAACCCACTCTCGACGGACTCACGGTTCTTAAGGTGGCGTTTGTGGGGCATATACTCACGACACATCCCTGGGGGGCCTCGGCAAGATCGGCAATAGCTTCTTGTTGGGTGTCCTGCCTCTAATTGTGGCTCCATGGTGGGTGTGGGGGCACATTCGTGAATGAAAGTTTTCCTCGTTTTCATGGCAGATAATGTTTCCCTTGTACCTTCTCAGGCTCGTGGGGTGGGCAACCAAGCCCCCGAGTCGGACTGTGTTGGTCCGACTCGGGGGACCAGGCTACAGGCAGCGGGGGCTACAGGACCAGGCCCTGTAGCCCCCGCTGCATTAGGCCTCAACGACCTGACTACTCCTCTCAGCTCCCCTCCCTCCTCTGCGGTAGGGTCAAGTTCCCAGCCCCCAGTGGTGACCACCTCGTCTCCTGGCACGGCTTTGTCTCTCATTGTGACTACTGTGCCTTTTACCCCCTCTCTCTGGGGGTTCTCAACGCCGTCCTCGCCACGGCCGCATTCGCACGATCCCTTCCCGTAATAATACTTACAATGCCTTGTTTGGTCCCGCTACGTGGGCTAAATACTTTGATCTCCACCATCTGGATTCTACTCCTGACAATTTCTCCCTCCATAAACACCTTGTTTAATACGGTACACGTGTCGTCGCCGCTCCTTCTCAGGATGCAGCTACTCGCTTAGCCGCTTTGTCCTGCATTGGAGAGACCCCTGTTCGGGTCTCCAAAAACGCTCGGTTAAATGCCAGTGTTGGCACTGTTCTCCTCCCACACCATGTTGCAACTGGTGTTTGGGACCTCAGAGATTGCCATGAGGATATTAAACATATCCTTGAAGCCCAAGGCCATTCTGTCCTCCAGGTGGACACGTTTACTCGACCCCCTCGTGGTCGTCGCTGTCAGCCCCTTCGAGTTGTAAAAGTCACCTTTGATAGTAGGGCCCTTCCGCCTTCTATTATTCTTGCTGGTGCCGGATGCTCCATTCAGGAGTACATTCCCTCTCCTAGACTTTGCAATAAGTGTTGGAAGTTTGGGCACGGTGTCCTCAAATGCTCCAGTACTGTGTATCTGTGCCCCATGTGTGGGGACAATAGTCATTATAAGTCCGAGTGCACTTCTCCCCAGGCTCGCTGCCTCAATTACGGTGAAGCCCACTCTACCTTCTCACGCTCATGTATGCACTACAAACTCAAGGAAGCCGTCCTCAACTTGAAGCACCGTGATCGTCTGTCTTTTCCTGAAAAGAGACGCCAAGTTCGTTGTGGTGGGCTTGCTGTGGGGAAACTGGTACTATTAAGGGGTAAGGGTAGTTAGAAGACAGAGTATCAAATATGGGAGAGCTAAAAGGCCCGGCCCCCAAAATAAACTATCCACAGTAATAATACCTTGCTACTAGACCATATATGTCAGTCTAAGGGTTGATCAATGCACTTCCACACAGGAAGAAGGGATACTCCTATAATTCATGTACTTATTTATTAACCCCTTAACAGCCCCCCATATACATTCACACCAATAACAATAATAATAATAACTTTACCACACTACCTTACGTTAAAAGCCTTGGTCCACATAGACAGGATACAAGGTTTTACACTGAACACAAGCTAGGGTAAAGCTCTGCTATTGAATAACTTGAAGTTAGAGTCAGCTTAGGGTAGGGGGACCACGTGGTTCCAATGGGACCCCCTTTAGAATAACTAGTAATATAAACCCTAAAAACACCTACTACACATAAAATAGTCTACTCTACACATAGAACATAAGTATGCCAGATATTGAATAATGATGTGCTCAATATACTTGAACAAGACACAGAAATAAGGAAACGAAGAGGAAGGATAGGAGGGAGTTCCTTTCACCACAGCCAGCAACCAGAGAAGACCGCTTCAGTCCAGATCAGCTTCCAGCCAGCTGGCTCGTTGCCGGCAGACTGCTCAACTAATCGTTCTGCGGCCCTATACCAAGTTTACTCAGGTTTACTTTACAAATGATTAGAAAGTAATAGTAAGCATAGTTGTGCCTATGTTATTATTTAATAATCAACCCCCAGCTCAGTCTTTAAATGCTCTTTGAGAAACAAGAATAGTCTTACGTCTGGCAGGGAAGATACAAACAAAGACACATCGGGTTGCGATTTCCTACTCTAACGTAGCTTAATTAGTTAAATTTTGACCTCTGGTTTCCACTGAAGAACCCAGGGTCGTAACATTCGTCGTCGTACCCCTTTCGCGGGTGTCTCCTACGCTCGCATGTTGTGTTCTACCTCTCCTCGTCCTTCCCGTCTTCCTCAGTCTCACAACCGTTTCCAGGCCTTAAACCCATCCACACCCACCACCTCCTCCCCTATTCCTTTGCCTCCTGTCCTGGATAGCCTCCCTTCCGGTTCTCTATCTGGGGTTTCCCCCTTCCTACTTTTATGATCCCAGGTAGCCGAAAAACGAGTCTCCCCATTTAGAATTATTCTATCAAGTCTGACCTGACTAGGAGGTCGGAGATATACAGACATGAAGATTCATATATAAAAATAATTGGGTGAATTTTATAGAGAATTTAACACTTTAGTGCGCGCGGCACTCGCTGAAAAAAACAGCGGGTTGTGCACGCGGCGTTCTGGGCGCTCAAGCGTAAGTTTATAATCTTTTCACGCTCCTAACATCAATTCTCGAGCTACGTTTTTCATTTTGGTATCAATGCGTTGGCAATAAAATTCTCTACAAGATCATATCCATAAAATGTCACCCAAGCATTTGCTATCCCACCACGAAGTAAATAAACACGAAGATGACTCACCGTGACACCCAAACAGGAAGTAAATGTTCATACTCTTTTGTTTGTTGCCAGCCTCACAGTCATCCTACAGCGCTTATTTTGATATCACTGAACTTGCAATAAAATTCCCCACCCAAACATATGCCTATCAATGTCTAATTACGTTCCGCACGAGTGTGGGAACTGGGCGAAGCGTTAGCCGTGATTTCAGCAGCGACGACACTGTTGTGATGCAGCGCTTTGAAAGTTTAGACTTATTTCACTGTCCTGACATTATTTCTCGAGCTACGTATTTCATTTTTATAGTAATGTGTTCGCAATAGAAAGTTTTATATATAACAATAGAAAGTTCTATAAGAACATGGGTAGAATTGGCCAACAGAGCGTCAAATAAATTTGCGGCAAATAAAATCTTACGCGTGTTTGTACCCGTGAGCGTAAAAAGTTTTTACTTTGCTCATGTTTTTTCAAGTTTATACTTGTTTCACTCCGTTTTTTTTTTTGTATAGTGTTCAGAATAAAATTCTCTACACAGACATATGCATATAAATGTAGAATCATGATCGCGGCCAACACAAGAGTGTGTGGAGTGGGCGATTACCCTCGTTGTGTCACCAACTCAATAGTCTCTCCTCTAAGTTACAATACATTGCCGTTTTCTCAAATAGGCACTGTGCCTATTAGAGAAAACAAAAATTTAATGGCAAACATATTCATACAAACCCCAAGTCGATCAAGTAGTAAATACCCACTATATCACGGTCCGTAAATTTACGTCGTGATCCGACAAGCAGTTAAGCAAAACGCCCATAGTTCCAAGTGGAAAATCCAGGAGAGTGTTAAGAATGTGGGCAGTGAATAAGAAAATAGATAAATGACTTGTTATGAGATGTGGGTAATTTGTTGGAGGCGTAAGGCTCGCTTCGTGGAGGGCTTTCACCCCATTTGAGTACCAGACATCGCGAGGGGAAGCTGCACTCCGTTTGAGCTCCTGTTGGAGAGGATCCCCTGTTGGATATACCATCTAGAGAAAGGAAGTGTGCAGACGTTCCAGCTGTAGAATCGAGCTGGGAACGTGAGGTCTCAAGTCCTGGACGGCAAGGAGAGTTTGTTAAGCCGCCCAGAGACATTATCGTGGGCCGTGGGAGCGCCCTGATCCGACTGAGTCAGAGGGAGAGCGCCCTCGACTAGACAATCTGTGGTAAGCACGATTTTAAGCCAGTTTATAGTGATTACTTGTAGTTGGTCGTGTGCCCAGCGACAGTAGTGAATGTTTATTGATAAGTTAGACATGTTTTGGTAAGGCAGAAGGCCTAAATAAGAGAGTGGAGGTGGAGGAACATCCTGGAGCATGGAGCGACATCCGTGTCCTCTGAGCGCTGGCAGGTGACTGAAGGAGCCTAGCTCCTGGCGGGGTAGCTGCCTCGAGGCCGCCTGGCCGGGTGGAGCATGGACCAGCCCAAACGGGGGAGTCCGCTCTCACAGTATGTAGAGAGCAGATAGATGTTGGATGCAAACATATTGTGTGGATTATTTCGTCTATGTGTTTATAAGGAAACATTTTTATTGGTGTGTCAATGGGTTGCAGGTTTGTCTTTGGAAGAAGTTGCTGAGTGGACTTCGAGCCAGCATAGAGTGAGTTAGTGGAAGAGACTCCAAGACTGTTGAAGGAGTAGTGTACTCTGTGGGAGAGTAGCCATACAGTGAAGAGTAGAACCTCGAGCTGTGAGGAGAAGCAGTGAAGAGGAGTATCACGTGCTTCTGTAATAACAGTGGCAAAACTCCAGTTCTGTTCGAGGAAACGTCATGGTGTAGCAGCCAGGAGAGCTGTGGAGGACCCTAGTAGAAGTGGTAAAGCACCATAGCTGCTCAAGGAAGACTTCATGGTGTAGCAGCCTGGAGGAGCTGCGGAAGATCCTGGTAGATAAACCCGGAAGAACCTGAAATAGATGTCAGGGTAGTGAACTTCCAGATGTGGAAGGGAAGTTCTGGTTGATTACTTGTAGGGAGTTGGTAGAGTGTTTGGTTGTCATTAGCGTGCAAGACGCAGTGAAAGGTGAGTAATTGTTTGCCATTTTTGTGCCAAAGAGGACGTATACTGAAGTATAGAGTTACAGTCGTAGGCTGGATTACCTACAGAGACATACATATGTGTTCTAGGACTGATAGGGTGATCGATTGATCATTGTTGTATATCAAGGAACATTTATGCTAATATTTATGTTATTGCAGCCATACGCTGGCTTTCCTTGTATGTGTTTATAGATATATATTCTCTTGCTGATAGTGCAACATTGTGTTATAAGACTTGACCTACTTGAAGAGGTTGGTAGTATTAGATGGTGAATCAGGAGATAGGATACCACATGATAAGCAGATAATAGAGTTCTGATGGTGTTGGAGTGCAACCTGACTGAAATAGTATAGTGTGTAGGATTCATTATTATTATTATTATGTGTGTATGTATTGTGTATGTGCTTTGTCCATTAAATGTATTCAAATTTGCTGGTGTTTGCCCTTGTCCTAGTGAGGCTTCCCAGTAAGTAGGAAAGAAGGAGAGAGAGAGAGAAAGAACCAAAGCTTTGGACAGGGTAGAATGGAATAATAATAAGTCAAAGGGGATTGAGGAGATCATATCACATAAGGAAAGAGTGGGGAGTCACAGCGGCTCGAGTGGGTGTGTGCACGTGACAACGAGGCTAAGTATTGGAGCCGCATCCCCTAAGTGTGTGACGTTGAGCCCCTCTCCAAGAGCCAGAAGCGCCCAGGGTGATCTCCTGGTAAAGTATAAGCACTCTACCGAGTTTTGGGTTGGGTTGTCTATAAAGAAGGATCAACGACACACAACACCCAACCCACAATATAATAATTGGGGGCCTGTCCAGGAGAGTGAACTGACACACCCACACCCTGTCCAAGAGTAGATGTGTACACCCCTTGTTGAAATAGATACACTGTGTGACCGCAGGTGTATATTCTCTCTCTTGGGAAGACTCACAGGACAAGATGGATAAGGTGCAAGCGTTTGTGGAGTCAGGCAAGCCCGAGGACCTGGAAGGTTGCACGAAGGATCAATTAAAACAAATAGAAAAATGTGGCATTAGATTGAAAGCATCTAAAGTAGCTGGGATGAAGGATGAGATCCTGAGGCAGTTAAGAACAAAGAGTGAAGCGGTAGAACTAGGAGCCCAGAAAGAAGCTGAAAGTGGAAAGGAGAATGATGGGCAGGATGAAGTGACATCCCAGGGATAGAGTAGGAGCAGTAAGAGTAGGCACAGTAGCAGGAACAGGAGTCTGGAGAGATTTCAGCTAGAACTCCAGATGCAGTGTGAGAACAAGGAGAGACAGTTCCAGCTGGAAAAGATGAAATTGGAACTCCAGATGAAAAATGAAGCCAAGAGGGAAAAAGAGAAAACCAGACTGGAGGTAGAAAAAGAGAAAGCAAGACTAGAGATGGAGAAAGAAAAAGAGAAAGCAAGACTAGAGGTGGAGAAAGAAAAAGCCCAGGTCGAAAAGAAAAAGAGAGAACAAAACAAATGCAGATAGAAGCGAATAGAACCTTGGCTGACCAAAGGATTGAACATGGGTTGCCAGAGAGCACCACCCAGGTATCACACTCACCAGATGTTAGGGTTAGGGAGAAGGACATTCCCTTGTTTGTTCCCGAAGAGGCAGAGAGCTTTTTTGAGCACTTTGAAAAGGTAGCCAGCATCAAGGAGTGGCCACAGGAGGAATGGACCCAGCTGGTCCAGTTGAGATTGACCTGTGCAGCCAGGGAGGCATACACCCAATTGTCACTGGAAGAGTGCCAGGATTATACCACAGTAAGGAGCAGCATACTGCACTCATTTCAGCTAACCCCAGAAGCTTATAGGAAGCGCTTCAGAGAGATGGTGAAGGTTGGAGCATGTACTTTTCCTGAGACAGCAAGGGATCTGAAGAGACGATTCCAGAAATGGATTGAGGCTACCGGAGTTAGATCTTACGCTGGCCTGAAGCAATTGATGGTCATGGAAAAGTTCTTAGAAATGATGCATCCCGAGACAAAGTTCAAGATCCAAGAAGCGGGGGAAAAGGAGGTGAAAAATGTCGCAGATAGGGCAGATATGATTACAGAAGCATACAAGAGCTTGAGGGAGAACAGAGTGAGAAGCGAGGCGAGACGCAGCAATGGCAGACCCAGTGGAATTTGGGGAGGAAGAAGTTTTGGGGGGCAGACAAGCAGACCAGCTAGTTTTAAGCCCCAAGAAGGAAAGTTGCCGAGTCTGCCTGCTGGAAGTAGGCAGGAAAATAAAAATGTGCAGAGGAAACAAGAGTCCAATGAAGCTCCACAGAGTACGAGTAGTGGGTCTGGCCCAAGGAACTCCAATATGAGTGGGAAGAGTCAGAGCCACTCGAGAGGTGTATAGGAGAGATTTCTACCAAATGTGGTGCTACAAGTGCAACAGATCGGGTCACATGATGCGCGATTACCGGCAGGGCAAGAGAGTCGTGACCCTGACCACGTGTGATCCCCGGAAGAAGTACGTTGATGTACAACAAGACAAACCACAGAAGGTAGATTTGACGAACGAGCGGTATAGGCCGTTCATCAGTAAAGGTTGGGTCGGCATAGAGGGTCAACCCGAGGTGGAGGTTAGTATCCTCAGGGATACTGGAGCCAATCAGAGTTTGATTCTGAGAGGCCTAATCGGAAACGATCGACTGTTAGCTGGCAGTAGGAGGATAAAGGTACATGGGTTGTTGTCTAAGAGTGACATGCCCGTGTGTGCTGTCCAGTTGAAGTCAGATTATTTGTCGGCGGAGGTGATGTTGGGAGTGTGCCCCAACATACCTGTTCCAGGAGTCCAAGTGATCCTGGGGAATGACTTGTGCGGGACAAAGGTGTTGCCAAAAGTCATGGCGGAGACTGTGCGAGAGGAGTGCCCAGAAAGACACGGCACGGGTGGGACACCTGAGAGTGTGAACCTGACTGACATCCGAGGAGATGAGTCAGGAGACCGCCAAGCCATTAAGTACCCTGTCTCGGTAGTGATGAAGGACGAGGTGGCCGACGAGGAAGACGCTGGAGAAAATGAGACGATGTCAATTCAACCGGTAGAAGATATCGAGGTAGATATAGCGTGGTTATTTGAGGAAGGTCCGGCTCAGGAAGATGAAGTCTCGGTGAGGTCAGGAGTGAAGAAGACACAGCCAAAGAAGAATACTGTGAAGAGAGCGGACCTGAGTAGAGCCCAGCCCGCCGAAATTAAGAGTCGGAAGGTGAATACAACTGTGCTGAGTAGAAATGAGGAAGGATGTGGACATACTGAGGACGGGAGTAGAGCGTCAAGTTGTCCATGAGCACAGAAACATATGGATAGTGGAGTTAAGTTGTTTGAGGTGTCAGGAGTTGACATGTTTCAACAGAAAACGTGGGAGAGAGATAGTGAAGAAGAGTAATAGCCGAGAAAATGAAAGGAGAAGAGACAGTATGTTTGGAGAGATGCTTACGAGCACTCTAGGAGTGGTAAAGCGACATGTACGGTCGAGTGCTGTTGTATGTAGTACAGTGCTCGAAGAAACTTTTAGGAAACGAAGAAGAGTTGAAGGAGAAGAAATGGAGTTGTATAAAGGTGAGAAGTGTGTGAAGAGGATGATGATACAAGCATGGAGGAATAGAAGAAAGCCGAGGACTCGATGGAAGTCAAACAGGATGAGGTCTCGGATAAATGAGGAGACGGAAGGGAGGATCATCGGTGAACACGAGGGAGTGAAGTATGATGACAGGAGACAGAAGTATAATGGCAGTAGATGGAAGTGTGAAGACAACAGAGGAGGTACAGACAGAAGATGTCTGACTCTAGACGTGAAGAGAAGAAGACGAGGAAACGGAGGGTGGAAACAATAATTAGAGTGGACCATATACCATCCAGAAGGCACTAGGGGGTGTGAATTATGTAACACATCCCAGATCGTCCGAGGAAGTCACAGGTTTGCCACATGAACATGATAAAGAGGTACTATGACAGAGATAAGCCTCTAGGCGATGAAGGACAGATAGAAACCCCGTCATTGACGACTGTGCTTTGTGTGGGAGACGGCAAAGGAATAGAGGAGGGGAACTGTAAGTTAGAGAAGGCCAATGGCGCGAAAATATCGAATACGGAAAGCCTGGAAAGATAGGTGAGCGTCTGGGTCATTTGGAGGATGACCAACGCCAGGAACTAGTTGAGATCCTACGGAGGAATATGTCGTTATTAACGGACGTGCCCAGAAGACACCGCGGAATGGTGCACGAAGTAAATGTAGGGAGTGCTGACCCCATCAAGGAGCACCCTTACAGAGTTAACCCAGAGAAAGCAGCGGCGATGAGAGCAGAAGTACAGTATCTGCTAGATAACGACTTGGCAGAGGTTAGCCACAGTGACTGGAGTTCGCCGTGCCTCCTCGTGAAGAAGAGTGATGGCACATACCGGTTCTGCACCGATTACAGGAAAGTGAATGCAGTCACAGTCGCTGACTCGTTCCCGATACCACGCATAGATGATTGTATAGATCAGATTGGGAGTGCACGGTATGTCTTAAAAATAAACCTGCTGAAGGGATACTACCAGATTCCCCTGTCCGAGGAGGCCAAGAGGATCTCAGCGTTCGTGACACCCGACGGCTTGTACCAATATAAAGTGGTGCCGTTCGGAATGAAGAATAGTGGTAGTTGTTTCCAACGAGTAATGAATCAGGT